GAGAACATTGGCGGAGAGATACACAATGTTTTGGTGCTCGTCGCAGAGACCACTTGCACAAGAAGATCGTTGTTCCGAAACCAGCGGACTTGTACCATTTGCTTCATTTCCACATTCTCTTTGTTTTTAGATTTGCCTTTCCACGGCTGAATTGCATATGAATTGCATACCCTGGCCTCGTGAATCAATTGTCAAAGCCAGCAATGTGTGGCCTTCCAAAGATCTTCTCGAGCAGGTTTCAAATACGCCAGACCAGCAGAAAGCCGTCTCCTCAGCAAATCGGCACTTAGAACACGTTTGCCTTTGTAGCGATGTGCGAACGCCCGGCAACAATGAGGGCAAGAGCAGAAACAAACCAAAACATAAAACAACAATACGCACAGAACAGGACGTTTGCCCAGAGCCCACGGCTGCCCACAAAATGATTCTATTCTATTTTTCAACGGACCCAGACGAAGTCTGCCAAGGGTTGTTGCCGCAAGAAACGCGGCGTTTTACAGAGTAAATCCATTATCATACCCTTCTACATATTGTTTTTGGGGGTGGCAGATTTAGACCCAGTTGCATATTGTTTTACACAGTAGACCCATTATACCTTTTTGCGATTTTTTACGTATTGTTTTAAGGGGGTGGAAGATTTACACCCTGTATTTATGTCATTTTACAGATCAGATTCCTTGTTATACTCTTCTACATATTGTTGTTTGAGGGGGGGTGGCAGATTTATACCATGTTATGTTATTATGTGCACCCTGTGTTAACATGTATGATGGAAAGAGTGAACGATATCTATATATATATATATATATATGCATAATTGTATATATATATATAACTTCTACATTCATTGAAGATCTTCAATAAGGGTTTAATTCTCCCAACCCCGTTAAACTTTACATTCATTGAAGATCTTCAATAAGGGTTTAATTCTCCCACCCCCGTTAAACTTCTACATTCATTGAAGATCTTCAATAAGGGTTTAATTCTCCCAACCCCGTTAAACTTTACATTCATTGAAGATCTTCAATAAGGGTTTAATTCTCCCAACCCCGTTAAACTTCTACATTCATTGAAGATCTTCAATAAGGGTTTAATTCTCACCACCCCGTTAATTTTCTACTTTCATTGAAGATCTTCAATAAGGGTTGAATTCTGATGATGATGATGATGATGATGATGATGCGTCGCCTATCGTCATTGCGGGTCCGGGCAAAACCCAGGCATTTGCCGTATATATATATATGTATATGACTGTATATAATATATATATGCTTATATATATATACTGTTATATATAATATATATACATTTACTGTATATATATACATGTCTTTACAGATATCATCCACATCGGGTTGCAAAGGCATTCGTACCATATGCAACTGATGGCAACTGCAGTGTGCATTCAGTTTTGATGGCGCAAAACGGATCGGCACGGTGTCACAGGTCCGCGCTCGCCTGGAAAGTCCTGCAGGCCATGGGTGGCTGGCATAAGCTGTGGAGATAGGGTGCCACATCAGAATTCTCTTCTGCACAATCTGCACAAAAGCATCTTCAATAGCATCAAAGAATATCAAAGATACTAGTAGTTTCAGTTTCATTATGTTTCTCTCACATCACTTCACGCGCTTCATTTTGTGGGCTCTTCAACTGACACACACGCACCCACACATGCAGTCGTTGGCGCTTCGAGTGTTAGGCTCAAATTTACCGTTATTCAATTTTTCCCCATCTGCCAGACTGCCAGGTGAGGGTCTCTAGAGTTTTGACAAAGCTGCAACTCCTTCCTCTCCTTCCTCCTCTCCTTCTTCCTCTCCTTCTTCCTCGCCAGCTGCGGACGCTGTGGAGTGTGCCTCGACCTGAGTGCCATATCGCTAGCTCAGGAGGCTGTGGAGTGTGCCAGGACCCGAACACCATATCGCAAGCTCAGGAATGAATGCCTGAAAAGATGTCAGATACAATGTCAGACTAGATGCCAGATAAATGCCAGAATGAATGCCTGAACAGCTGTCAGATAGAATGCCAGAATAGATGCCAGAAAGAATGTCAGAATGGATGCCAGATAGAATGTCAGAGCATATGCCAGAAAGAATGTTGATATAGAATGTCAGATTATATTATATAGTGTATATTTACATAATATATATATATATGCCATATATACTTTCAGATGGTATGTCAGAAGATATGGCAGAATGGTGTGTAGTGTCAGGGTGTGGATCACTCGGAGAAAGTAATTCATTTGCGACATTCAATCTTTCAAGTGACTGCAAGAGACCAAAGGGGTCACCCTGAAAAGTTGCTGGCCTTGTTGGCAGGCTGGATTACCTTGGTAGACTGTTCGAATAACATCCGCTATGCCGTGAAGTCAAGGCACACCGTCCTGGAACCAAACAACATCGAACAACTGGGGATGGGCAAAGGATTAGAATGCATTAGGCAACAGGTGCGGAGCCACGCAGCACATGATAGCATATTTCAATATATTTCAACCAGCAAGTTGATTTGTCCGACTTGCCCGACTTGTCCAGTTGTTTGCCTTCTGTGCCCCTTGGTCATTGCATCATCCATTTGTTGCCAGTGTGAAAACCATTCCAAGTTATAAAGCGCTCTACAGTAACAAACATGTGGTAACAGTGATGACAATCAGACTGTGTCCCTGATTGCAGGAAACCTGTCCAGATCTCAGACCAAGCGATGTGGCTTGCAGGTTGTCATTAGTTATTTAGTTACGATTTGTCACCTATTCTGATTACGAATTTTCTTGCGCTGAGCCTTCGGGAGCCTTGTTTTTGGACGAACGCGATCTTATGTGGCCCTCTCACAACATCTCACAACCTCATCCGTAACCACTGTGTATAATTCTGTGACCCTAAAGCACATGTAATTACAGCACGATATCAACTGTGCGAGTTTTTCGCAAATAGCCCCAGGTAGCGGTAGCAGTGAACAGTATAGTTGATACATGTTGATACTCTAGTTATAGCGCTGAGTAGCTCAAGTTCCAAAACGATTTGGTCCCATGTCTGGTCCGGGGATTGGCGCTCTTCCAGCGAGGCACGAAGTGAGCGCAATGCTTGCACTGTTTGGGGATGATTTTTTGTGGAGAGGTGTGACGTGTAGTCTGCTCACTGCTTCAAGTTGTTGATGGACAGGAAGGCTGCTTTGGCGTCAATGTATGTCAATGGTTTTTATGCATTTTTTGTCAGTGTATAAATTGGAGACAATAAATTGAGATAATTTTAGCACAGTTCACATTTTAATTAGAGGGGCATACAAGCAATTCCTGCCTTTTACACTCATCTCACCCTTTCTCACCCGCAGTTTGCCAGTGGATCACGCTTGCACGCGGAAAGCTATCGACTTGTCGGTTAAAATGATGCGCGAGGGAGAAAGGCCTGCACTGCAGCATCCTTTGGGAATGCTCGAGAATGAACTTAGCGAAACTTGAATGGTCAGTGGGTTGTCCGGACAAGACAATTCTAGAAGGGTAAATGCTTCACATGCGGGCTCGGTCCCAGTTTTGACAAAGAGAGAATTCTATTAACATAATAATATTCTATGATATTCTATGCAACTTTAGAATCGGCGCAGAAACGAACTGTTGCGGTTGAGAGGCAATCCGCAATCTTTGGAATTCCCAAGATCACTGCGGAAAGGAGTTGTGGGCGTTGGTGGATGGCTGAGAGACTGAGCAGCTTGTCCCTATTTGTCCCTTCAGATTCGTGTGAATCGTTGTTGTGGCAAGCCAAGCTCTTGATTCTCTTCAAAGTTAGACCAACAAAATTGATCCAATATTATTTGACTTGGATGACGAGAAACTGGAGGAACTCCAAATCTTGATGCGCTCGCTTCCGGTGGACATATCTTCAATCGATGGCTTTGAACAACGCGATTCATGCTGTAGTATAGTGGCAATTTCATTCTACCAGCAGTTCAGTGATGCTGCTGTAGCGCACGGCGCACATGTGATTCATGTGGGGCTGGTTTTCTCTGGCAAAAAGTGGAGTTGTTGGTCTGGATAGGTGTTGAAGTAGTCTTGCACCACAATTACGAAAACTGTTCCCTTCCGTTTTGCAACAAGCAAGAAAAATCAAGAAAAAACATGGCTGTATTTCCTCAGAGCAGAACTACCCTACCAGGGCTGGAGGCACCTGTACATATTTCGACGCAAAGATCCTCGGAGGTGTCGAGCGTTTCACCACCATCCAAAGCGGTGAAATTCAGAACCCACATGCGTCAACAAAAACAGCAAGGCATCCATGTGACGCATGCTTCACAGAACGATTCCAGGCCAAGCGATGGAGGAGCAACTCAGTGTGAATAATGCGATTCGCAAATGGACCATACTTCGCTGTATAGTAAGACCATAGGACCATAGGATACAGCATGATTAGAAACATGGGCGGGTGAGAAGGTCTACCATGGTCTACCTCTCTTTCCCACTGGCTTACCTTGGAGCGGCTCACGCTCTCTTGCTCTTGTGGTTTCTATGCAAATCACATTGCATGTCTGGCTGCGGGGTGCCGGCTGCTCAGCTGTAGTTTTGAAGTTGACATGCAACAGTGTCGCAGCTCTAGACTCTATCATAGATCATAGAATCATCATACTGACCATTTGGCCAAGTCAAAATTCTCCAGCAAAATTCACTAGTGAAAAGAATGCGAGCAAGTGCCTTCGAAGTGAGCCAATTCGCCAAACTCCACCCACAACAGGTACGGTGTAAACGCTCAGAACTATGGGTTCCAAACTGAAACCATTAAACAAAGCCAAGGTCAAGGCTATGCAAAGACCATACAATTCATAACCTCCAATTCAGGTTGGGCAGGGTTGTTGTTTGTCTTTTCCCATCCCAGCCTGTCGTGTGGCAATGTTGATTGGCCACACAGCCGCCAGTGCCAAGATGCTGGCGGCATGTGCCGTGGTCAGTGACCCAGTGCCGTGAGCTTGCGGGAGCGGCCCCAGGGGCCCAGGGGCCCCAGGGGCCCTGGGTTGGGCCAATGAGCGAAACGCACTATGCGGCAGTGCGGGCAAAGCTCAACAAACATTGCTATCACCAGCATTTGGGTGCCTGGGCTGCCTGGGCTGCCTTGGTCTCTGAAATTCTCTGAACACAGGATGAAGGTCCAGTCAAAGAACATGGATCTCCAACCGAAACCTGAAATGAATGAGACCAGACACGAAACCAGAAGGTTAATATACTTTCAATGTCTTTCATTACGCTCTATATTTTCGTTTGTGCCTATGGAGCTGTTCAAGTTCAAGACACATTCCTTGCCATGTCAGCGTTCTTCCTTACGATGTTGAGGCAAATTCTGCACGGAGAAGCGTTTACATACAAGTCCGTACATCAAAATTTGTGGTCAGCCCTTGCCTTGTTTGAGGTAGTGAATCTGTTTTGTTGGCGGAGACTATGATCAATGACTTGATCGCCTCGGCTAGCAGCTTGAGCAACTTGCAAGAGAAAGACAACGACAAGAGGACACCCAGCTGGTATTTCCTTTGCATGAGCTTTGTTCCAATAACCAGATTTTTCTTCTAATCTCTGCCTATGAGTTTTGGGTGCAGTGACCTTCTCGTTCTTTATGAAACTGCCACCACAGACGGAAGGCACTGCAAAAGGGAAATAGATCCGGTAGAAATACCTCATTGTCAAGGAGTGGCTTTTGGAATAAGAAATTGTTCAGCGCCTTTGGGCCGAGATCCTTCATTACTCATGCCCGCGCAGGACAGAATTGCAACTGCTGATTTGCGAGCTTGATGGTCTGCGAATCGAGAATCCCAGACTGAAGGCGAACTGGAGATGTGTTGCTATCTTTCTTTGTCTCATGACGAAATCATATTTTCCCAATTTTACCCAATAGACATCCAGAAGACTGATCAATACTGATCAAACATGAAGAATCGTGGCCACAGCGTGTGAGCGGATGCGCAGATGATTTTAAGCAGCTCTTTGTGTTATGTAATGACATGAGAGACTTGACCCAAAACGGAGCCCGCCAGGCTGAAAATAATGCTTTACACCTACAGATCCTCGAAGCAGTGGAAGCATCTGAGACTTGGGAGGCTTCCATTTGTCAGGAGGTGCAAAGCCTGGAAGATGAGATCGATTCCACCAAGCTCAGTCTGCAACAAGAAACCCGTCGTGCTGCACAGAAAGAATTGGAACTTCAGCAGCTCCAGGTGGAAGCTGCTGTTATCTTGAACGTAGACCGCAATGCAACGAGGCCTTGCGATTCCTTGCCGGAACGATCGGCTTTTCAACTGGATGCAGAGCCACTTATGGCAAAGGACGAAAGCTTGACTGAGTCACTGTACCACTGTCGCAGGACTCTTGGCTGGAGATCATTTGATCTTGCTGGGAGGTACCGAGACCAATGATTTTTTGGAGGTGAAGTTATTTATATATTTTTTATCAATATGTTTCTTTCAGTCTGGGGTTGCTTTTGTGGCTTTTGGGATCTTTGCTTCTTGGGTTTTGTGACTTTTGGCTATCGGTTTTTGACGGATCTTGACTCCGACTCTTGGCTTCTTGGCTTCTCGGGTTTTGTGGCTTTTGGCTTTCTGGCTTTTGCTGCGTTTGGCTTTTTTGCTTTTGCGGCTTTCGCCTTCTTGGCTTTTGTGGCTTTTGTGGCTTTTGACTTTTGCTTTTTTTTTTATCTGCAACAACGTATTGTGCAGACAACAAGGGAAGAAGCAGATAAGAGGACACAAAACAGCAAACATGCGGAGGAAAAACAAGATCAGACATCCAACAGCAAAAACAAGAGCAGGAATCTTAGCTCAAAGTGATGTGAGTACCGTCAAGGTTCTTCAGCACCAAAACGCTGCATTGCGGTTCAAATCAGAGATTCACCTCGATTCAACCTTCATCATGCTGCAAGCATTGTGCAAGCAGCAAGAGAAACATTGGCAAGCAAAAGATCAACAAGAATGTCCAGAAAGACAAACTCCAACATCAAGCAACAACAACAACAACAGCAACAGCAACAGCAACAGCAGCAGCAACAGCAACAGCAACAGCAACAGCACCAACACCAACACCAACAGCAACACCAACAGCAACAGCAGCAGCAGCAGCAGCAACAGCAACAACAAGAATGAAAATGACAATGAGAATGAGAATCAGAACAAGAATAAAAATAAGAAGAACAGGGAGAAAACGATGGCGACAACAGAACACATGCTCTTGTTTGTTTCCTTTTGGGGGAGGCCCTGCGCACTCCCCTGCAATGCCCTCTCCCCTGCCTGCCACGAAATCTGCTTTTATGTCCCAAAGCAAGCATCTGCCACGAAAACATATTCTAAAGCAAAACTCGTTAGCTACTAAGACAGCAAACTAGAGTTGATGCAAATAGCCTGCAAATGCAACAGTTGGGATTCCGAATTCCTTTACACCTCTGGAAACCAACCAAAACGAAAACGACCCAATGAATACCGGTTCCCCGCAGATCCAGGAATTTGCTGCATCTGGAAAGCAATGTCGCTGAAACCGCAAAACGTGCCGCGGATTTGGAAAACAAGGTGGGTGAGTTTGGTTAAAGCCCATGCCATGGGACATGGGAGAAAATACGTCATCGTCACATATTGTCACAATGCTCAGCTGACATTGCTGAAAGCTACTCGTGCTGATGCTGCCAAACATGAAAGGATTTTACTTGTTCTAAGATCTGTCAATTCTGTTTCGGACAATGCATTGTTTCAAATCGAAGAAAGTGGGTAAGATGTCTCCATTGCGAGTCTAACAATTAAATACTCAGAATTTAGATGATTTTGGATGATTCTGGCAGAACAAGTTGCTTGAATATCGGTGATCTCAATCTAGCAGCTCTCCTGGAGGCAGAGATGTTGTGCCAAGAGCTTTTCGAAGGTTCAACTCCTTCGCAGCCGTTGCGGCTGCGTGCCATGCAAGCACAATTAGAGGTGATCGGGAATCTGGGGTGCAAAATAAAGAAATGGGATGTCGAACCGTATCTTCTTCTGATATTCTTGGCACTAGAATTTGATTGGCAAGACAGCCGATTGGCTATTTGATCTATTTGCAACAATATGAAACCACGAAATGTGAGAATGGCCGCTGTGTTCGATCTGATTTCGGGGGCACATGTGGTATATATAGAATGACAGGATCAGCAGCCGACAGTCAGTGGAAGGTGAGATGGCTGGATTATGACAGATTATGATAGATTGGATAAGTACTGAACACACTGAGCAAGGAAAATAGAAGTCCTTACCCATCCTTACAGTACCTAAAATCGAGCAAGATATCGCAAGATAAAGCGCCTAATTCTACAAGATCTGCAAGATGATAGCTTTGTTTAGCTTTGTTTGGGCAACTACTCGATTATACTAAGAGAAGCTGGCCACACAGCAACCTGATCCGTGCGTTTTGCCGCCAAAGCGGACAGGTGGAAGCCACCCAACAGCGAAAAGGATTGGAGGTAGGGCAGGGTGCTTGTAGGTCTTGTAGCATTACAATGCATTACAATTTACAATTCATTGCAGTCAATTCCTTAATCAATCTGTTTCCTTAATTGCAATCGTACTCACGGTATGATCCTGGAGGTATCAGCACATTGTACGAATTGAGTAGGACTGATTGTGTTTAGTTGCTGCCAGGAGCTGGAAATGCAGTGTGAAGAGCTGGAGGAAAGACGCCGCTCCTCGGACCAGAAGCGAAGGCATTTACAAGAAAAATCCCAGGAGCTGGCCACGAGCGGCATTCCGTGGGCTGATGGTGGTTGTTTTCAGGGGGATGCGACATGATGAATACGACAATGTACAAGTAAGAAGTTTACAGTATGTGCCCGATGCCCAAAATTCATCAAAACATCCCAAAACCGAAATTCCAATCTGTGTAGGGAAATAGCCAAGACACTGCAGAGAAACTACTGCCATCTCAAACAGTGAATGGATGCAAAGATATCAGGCAGCAAAACCGAACAAGTAGACTCCTGACATCCTGCAAATCACCACCCCTTTCAGGGGGACCATACCAAAATGTAAGATACATTTTTTGGGACCCCCCCTTAAATGCAAAATTGGTCGCTGAACGTCCCCCAGGTGTCGATTTTGTGGGGAGGGTTTTCAAAATACCTTCAAAATGTAAGCTTACATTTTCAAGGCCCCCTCAAAAACACCTTGAAAAATGTAGCTTACATTTTGGATCATTTTGGGTATGCCCCCCCCCTTTAAAACGGTGGTGATACAACAATCAATAATTTAATCAAATTCAGTTTATATCAATGAGTCAAGCTATTTTATCTGAATCGATGAGCAGATGGCATCAGTCCTCGTCCAGATTTGATTCTGTATGTCTCATGGTTTTCCTTTGCAACCAAGTTGCCAGATGTTGCCAGCGAGTAGGAACTTCACAGTGAAGAAGCAGCACTGCTGGCTGACGAAGCAAAGGCAGGAGGTATGTTTAAATTCTGGCCGTTCTTGTTCTTGCCTGGAACATTGGAGAATGTAACAATGTAGCACGACCGTCAAGGGCTTAAAGATAGTCCTCGTTATGTAGCTGGCCCCCAGCTAACACGGCTCTTCTGCAGCTTGGCGCTAGGTTTGCGCTAGCATATGCTAGTAGCATTTTTTGCTTTAACATTCCCAGGAAGTAGTTGACTTGTACATTTGGCTTGGCTTGGCTTTTATGTTTGACATTTGGCTTGGCTTGGCTTTTATATGTATATAATAAAATATGACAATTTATTTTATGATTAATGTTGGATTCTGATTAGTGTAGGCCCCCCCCCCCCTAAACAAATTTTGGATACTCTTTAATGTGGAAATGTTCATGATTTCGATCCTGAATAGTGTGATCAAAAAAAAGATCGATTTCAATTGATTTTGATTTACTTTCAATTGGTTTTCAATTGATGTCAATTTACTTTGAATTGATTTTCAATTGATTCCAATTTACTTTCAATTGATTTCAATTTACTTTCAATTGATTTTCTATTGATGCCAACTTACTTCCAATTTATTTTCAATTGATTTCAATTTACCTTCACTTGATTTTCAATTTACTTTCAACTGATTTCAATTTACTTTCAATTGATTTCAATTTGCTATCAATTGATTTTCAATTGATTTCAATTTACTGTCAATTGATTTTCAATTGATGCCAGCTTACTTCCAATTTATTTTCAATTGATTTCAATTTACCTTCACTTGATTTTCAATTTACTTTCAATTGGTTTCCATTTACTTTCAATTGATTTCAGTTTATTATCCATTGATTTTCAATTGATTTCAATTTACTTTCAATTGATTTTCAATTGATGCCAACTTACTTCCAATTTATTTTCAATTGATTTCAATTTAGTTTGAATTTATTTTCAATTGATTTCAACTTACTTTCAATTGACATCCCATTGTAATCCCATAGACATATCATAGAAATATCATGGAAATTTCATAGGAATCCCACAGAATTCCCATAGAAAGATCATAGAAATAACATGGAATAGCATAGGGGCCACAATGAAATCCCATAAGAATTCCCGCCTTAGTAATCCCATAGAAACATCATGGAAACATCATGGAAATACCTTGGAAATCCCACAGGAATCCAATAGAAATCCCACAGGAATCCAGCAGAAACCCCATAGAAATCATAGAAACATCATAGAAATACCATAGAAATCCCATAGGAATTCCAATAGAATCCCTTCAGAAATCCCATAGCCATAGAAATCCTCCAGAAATATCATGGAAACATCATGGAAATCCCATAGGAATCCAATGAAACTCCCATAGACATCCTCTTGAAACCCCATAGGAATCCCATAGAAATACCATCGGCATCCCATAGAAACCCAATAGTAGTCCCAAAGAAATATCATAGAAATACCATGGAAATCCCACAGGAATCCCACAGAAATCCCATAGAAAGATCATAGAAATAACATGGAATAGCATAGGAACTACAAAGAAACCCCATAAGATTTCCCATAGTAACCCCATAGAAATATCATAGAAACATCATGGAAATACCTTGGAAATTCCACAGGAATCCAATAGAAACCCCATAGAAATATCATAGAAACATCATAGGAATCCCATAGAAATCCAATAGTAATACCATAGAAATATCATAAAAGAAAAAAGCTTTAGCAAAAGAACAGGTAAAGGGAATGTTTAAAAAAAACACATCAGGAAACAGCTGGGCACAATAGTGGGCCCCCAAAACAAACATACTATTGTGGATCAGGGTTGGTCATGGACTACCCCCTTGAAAAATTGTTTGGGTGCTGTTTTTTTTGGTGGTTTTAATAAGGCATGGTATATTTTGGGAAATTGGGCATTTCTGAGAATTTCAAATGAAAGAAACTAAGAAAGTAAAAGAAAAAAAATAGCAAAGGAAACGGTAAAGGGAATGTTTGAAAAAAAACTCCTCAGGAAGCAGCTGGACACAATAGTGGGCCCCCAAAACAAACATACTATTGTGGATCAGGGTTGCTCATGGACTACCCCTTTGAAAAAATTGTGTGGGTGCTGTCTTTTTTGGGTTTTAATAAGGCATCCTATTTAAATAATATTGCTGATGGGTCATAATTAACCTCAAAAAATGTTTCTCCAGACAACAGCTAGACACAATAGTGGATCCCCACAACAAAAATATTATTTAGGATCAATATTGCTCATGAAAAAAATATTAAAAAAAAAAACTAACAACAATAATTTTCAAAAAATATTTTTTTCAAAAAAAACAAAAAAGTGAAACACATTTTAAAATGAAAATGAAACAATTTAAAAATTGCACATGTTCAAAAAAAACTGAAAAACTTACCCCAAAATCCTGGGGACACAATAGTGTACCACCCAAACATTTCCACAGATTCACAATTATTTTTGAGTCTGGGGACACAATAGTGTACCACCACACTAATCAGCATCCAACATTATTATACAGTACAATAATGTGTCCTTGCGGTGCTCAAGAAATAGTTACTGGGTTGCCATTGCCAAAACAGTGTAAACCCCGCGCCGAACAGTGTTCAAAACACGCCTGCTGGTTGTGGAGTTGTGGAGGCATTTTATTTGACGAGCTATTCAAAGATACCTGGCTTGTTGTGATCCCACTTGTTTGATGTACACCCTATATCAGATTATCATGGATGCTGGCTTCAAACGATGCCGGAGGCTTGTCCATTCTAGGAAGCACTGTCCTTGTTTCTTCCATGTACTGATTTTGCAAATTCACGAGGAGGCTGTGAAGACTATGGAACTGTCGTAGACTTAGTTCTGTACTTTTGACCGAAGCGCTATTTGCTTGGGGAAGAGAGAAGCTTGTGAAGACTCAAAGGTCAGCTTCACAGGGCTTTAGCAACATGCATTGCGCATTGAAAGCGTGTTTTGAAAGATACGGACGAACTGTTCGAATTGAAACCAGTATTTTCGGCACGGGGAGAGAGATGCCCGAAACCCAAAACGATGCGCTTTGTTCTGAGCACATAGTGAATGCATGTATGGTCAGTGCCGGAATTATAGAACGGAAGTTGAAGAGGACGAAGGTACGGTTATTTACCGTACCCTGTTGTTCCATAATTCTGTTTTCCTCGGAAGGTGTGAAAAAAAAATGTATCTGATCTTCCTCTTAATTTTTTGCGTCGTTCTATAATTCTTGTCGGAGCGCTGCTGTTCTATAATTCTGTTTTCCCCCATTTTTCTCACATTTCCCATTTTCGTTCTATAATTAATGTTTCCCGGGCCCCGTTCTATAATTAATTTTTCCGTCGAACGGAAAAATTAATTATAGAACGGACAAATTAATTATGGAATTATAGAACCTCTTCCGGGGTCCCAGAAATCCTACAAAATCACCATGAAATCTAAGAAAATCACCGTGAAATCCCATAAAATCACCATGAAATCCCATAAAACCACTATGAATTCCTATAAAATCACCATGAAATCTGAGAAAATCACCTGGTAAATGTGGGAAAAATGGGGGAAAACAGAATTATAGAACGGAAGTTGAGGAGTACGAAGGTACGGTTATTTACCGTACCCTGTTGTTCTATAATTCTGTTTTCCTCGGAAAGTATGAGAAAAAATGTATCTGAATTTACTCCTAACCTTTTTCGTCGTTCTATAATTCTTGTCGGAGCGCTGTTGTTCTATAATTCTGTTGTCCCCCATTTTTCTCACATTTCCCATTTTCGTTCTATAATTAATGTTTCCCGGACCCCGTTCTATAATTAATTTTTCCGTCGAACGGAAAAATTAATTATAGAACGGAAAAATTAATTATAGAATTATAGAACCTCTTCCGGGGTCCCAGAAATCCTACAAAATCACCATGAAATCTAAGAAAATCACCGTGAAATCCCATAAAACCACCATGAAATCCCATAAAACCTCTATGAATTCCTATAAAATCACCATGAAATCTGAGAAAATCACCTGGTAAATGTGGGAAAAATGGGGGAAAACAGAATTATAGAACGGAAGTTGAGGAGTACGAAGGTACGGTTATTTACCGTACCCTGTTGTTCTATAATTCTGTTTTCCTCGGAAGGTATGAAAACAAATGTATCTGAATTTACTCCTAACCTTTTTCGTCGTTCTATCCTCATTAAATCCTCATTAAATATGCATTTTATCCTCATTTCCTCATCAAATCCCCATTAAATCCTCATTTTATCCGCGTTTTATTATCATTTCCTCATCATTTCCTCATTTTATCCTCATTTTATCCTCATTTTATGTCAGTGCCAGGAATTATAGAACGGAGCCAGGAGGACAAAGGTACGGTATTTTACCGTACCTTTGTCCTCTTCCCCGTTCTATAATTAAATTTTCCGACTCCGCTCCAGGTTCGAACCCGGAAGAGGACAAAGGTACGGTATTTTACCGTACTTTTGTCCTCTTCGCTCCGTTCTATAATTCTGGCACTGACTGTAGATGTGACCCATGTAGAAGAGCCAATCAAAATAAATTTGGCCAGGCCCAGTTTCAAATCCAGACTTGTGTGAAAACATATAATAAAACACATGATAAAATATGTGAACATATGTAAGTAAAGCCCGCAGCGAGGCGCACGGGTCTGGTAAAAACGTTGACTTCATGGAAAACATGTGAGGCATACTAAGTGCATATCTCGATTTGCGTGACCTTGCGAAATGACTTGTAATTAATACAGTACTCTCACCATTTTTCGCCACGCCACTTCTCAGAGCCCCAAGGCTTGAAGAAAGTCAAGCAGCAGCGTCTACGCACCAGCGCCACTTAAAAGAAGTACAGGAGAAGCTGGGGAGATTTGGGATCCATCGGAAACACCTACAGTCATCCACAGCAGTTTGGAGCTTTCAGGTCTAGGTCCTGACCTCATGATCCTCATGTTTCACTTTCAGGAGCGACACATGGCATTGCAAGTGAGCTGTCAGAAACTCCGAGGCCAGCTGCCACAACTCGTTGATGAAAGCTTCAATCGCTGATCAGACAGTACTCGTACTGGGAAATGTTCGTAAATCACACAAAGAATGACTAAGAATGGGGATGGCGCGGCAATCTTTCAGTTTCTCCGGCTTTGTTGTAGTGGTGCCGTCATCATCCGTCATCCTTGTGAATCAGATTCATGCAGATTCTCTACTCAGACAATTTCACAGAATTCATCGTTGCAGCCCACCGTCAGACAATTGGACCCAGGCTCCACACAGATCATGGCTTCACGACTGAGCCAGTTCTCAAGAGATGAGGTGTGCTGCTTCGAGTTTTGGAGGGATCCCGGGCAAGAGCAACGCCTTGGAAGGTCAGAAAGGATAGCAGTATAGCCCGACACTTTTTGCATATGTGAATCACCAGGACTCGAGGGACCGAGCATGGGAAGATTCCAGTGTGAAGTGCTGCCGCTCCCAAGACAGCAATGTTTTCCAATTCAAGCTTGTCCGAGGCTTGTCCAGGCAGACAACGACGCATCAAAACAATTCACAACACCTCAGTGTCAGCGCACCCTGGGCTGCCAGGCATTGACTGCCGCCGAACAGTCAAAGAAGGTCAAGGACGCAATTTGATTCAATGTTGGATGGGAAATAGCTAGCTGCTAGATTGAGTGGCTGACCAGCTTTGGGGTGCCAGGCGAAGTGAATAGATATGAATAGATGCTGCACTTGTAGCACTTGCTTGGAAAAGGAGACGAAAGCCACTTAGCGCTTTCAGAAGGTCACGCAAATCAAAGATTCCATCGGACAGCTTCACACCTCAAGAGAGAAAGGAAACAACTCATGCTGCACCAAGCTAGCAGCTAGACTGAACTCAGGTCATTCTCTCTTTTTTGCAGGCGTCAAAAGAGAACTGTAAAGGAAAAGCTTGCAGTCCGAAAAGGCTTGTCAAGCATAGCCATTAATCTGTGGATATTTTAGCTGCTACTGCTTGCCACATTGTTCAGACTTGTCACCTTGTTGAGCCACATCCAGGAACTTTTGGATCGATTGGTCTCAGTGCAAAGCGGTTCTTAGCTTAATCTCTGGACTTCTTGCTCACCTCGATGGACAGAGATACTGAGAATTTCTTGCCAAATTCTGATGAAGAGAACATGAGAGAACTATTGTTGATGCTATGCAAGCCCTGCGATTCTCGTGATTTTGAACACTTTCTGGAACCTTCCCATGTGCACATCCCAAGTGGACATCAAGCCTGTTCCGAGCACCCACTTTGTGCACTGGCTTCGCAACTTCACATCAAAATCATCAAATAAATCAACAGCTTCCCAAGCCAACTTGGGTCAACTTGAGCGTCCCTGAGGTGCTGTGGCACCTTCCACGCTGCAGCTTCAGCAGCTAGAAGATCAGGTGCAAAGAGCACAGGACAGCCGCTGTCAGGTTTTTGGATATTGATAGACTTGATCATACAGGGTCCGCCTCGCATCATATCCTTGTGATTCCTTGATATAGACTGTGATGTTGCTTGTTTAAGTCAGGTTCATGGATAAACATGGATAAAATATGTCCCACTGATGGCCGGTGGGTCTGGGAACGCCCTCTTATTGGACAAGACCTTACTTTTTGTCATTTTACTAGCAGTTCTATTCAATTACATCAGCTGCATCCCCGTGTGATTGTTTATCTATACATATGATCGAAGGAAGTTTAGAAGTCAAACTTCCGACAATATGGACAGATGAAAAGCAGAGATGGCAAGAGTCAGAGAGAAGAGGAGTAGAAGAGAGAAGATACGAGAAGAAGAAGAGTCAGAAGAAAGAAGATGAAGGTGCGCGAAAAGGTAGGCAAGTCGCGAAACACTGTGTTTTTCCAATGATTTGTGGCTCCGGAGGGTCGAAAAGTAGGCTCGCTAAAGCGGCGGGTGCGGAGCCATCTGGCCAGATGAGAGATGAACAATTGCACGCCGTTGTGGCGCGAAGCACATTTCAAAGTCAAAATCTACAAAACACCACATGCTCGCGCCACTTTTGGAGGTTCAGATGTCGTTTCGCGTGGCAGGCGCAAGCGATTGTGGACCTTGTCAAAAGTCAGCAAAACGTGAGGGTTTTGTAGCATTTCCAAAAACGAGATCTGCAAAGGTGCATTTTCCGTGGCGGGCGCAGTGCAAGAGACATGTTCATCAGAGCTGTTAGGAGGTCCGGGCGCTGATTTCCTGAGAGGGGTTGCATTTTGGAGCATCAGATCTGTAGGTTTGGCAAGATGGCTTTGTTTGATAGGTGCAGCACTTCGTATGACCTGGCCTCACTTTTTCGTGCCAAGCGCAATACTTCAGAGACGTGGGCTGGAAAAATCGCAAAACGCATTGGTACGAGGCCGTCAGATCTGCACTCAACTTTCCATTATTGAAGGAAGTCTCGCAGAATTGCTTCGTTTTTGACGTTATCAAGTTCAAAAGTTGAGGAAGTCTCGCAGAAACGCTTCGTTTTTCATGTTGTCACCTTCGAAAATGGAGGAAGCCTTGCAGAATAGCTTCGTTTTCAAGCCTGTAGATAGACAGTTAGATAGATAGATAGATAGATAGACAACTACAACCACAAGTACAACTACACTACTACTACAACTACAACTACAAATAAATGTGCAAATATACTACGCTACATTACACCACATTAAATTACATTACATTACGCTTATCAAACTACGCTACACTAATTACAGTACACTACGCCAATTGCATTACAACTACAACTGCTACAACAAATGAAGCTACAACTTCAACTACAACTACACTACCTTACGCGACACTACGTTACACTAATCACACTACACTACAGTACGCTACACTACACTACACTACACTACAGCACACTAGAACTACACTACACTAATTACACAACACTACAGTACACTACACTACGCTACATTGCCATACACTAATTACACTACAACTGCAACTACAAATACAACTACAGCTTCAACTACAACTACACTACATTACGCTACACTACACTAATCACACTACACTACACTAATTGCACTACACCACACTAATTACACTACACTACCGTACACTACAGTACACTACAGTAGACTACAGTAGACTACAGTACGCTACAGCTACACTACAACTACACTACAACCACACCGCAACTGCAACTGCAACTGTAACTGCAACTGCAACTACACCACACTACACTACACTACGCTACCCTACCCTACACTACACTACACTACATTAATTGCACCACACTACACTACACTACACTACATTATATAATTACACTACAACTACAACGACAGCTACAGCTACAAGTACAACAACACTACAACTACACTACACTAGACTACACTACACTATCCCACACCGCAGTACACAACACTACAGTACACTACACTGCACTACATTTCACTACACTAATTACACCACACAACAACTACAACTGCAACTGCAACTGCAACTACACACAATAATCACACTACACTACAGCTACAACTCCGCTATACTACAACTACAGCTACAACTGCACTACACCACACTACATCCAACAGTTGTGGGTGAGTAACCGCTGCAACCCTTGCAGCCACTTCAAAAACCGCAACTCCAACCACCTTTCGGTCCATCAGTGGATTCGCTCTGCCATTTGTGATTCGACAACAACCAACCTCCCCTATAGGTTTCCAATCTTTGAAACTTCCGCCGCCGCCTTGCGCGGCACTACTGGCACCTATTAATCGCAACTCCATATTTTCCCCTCTTGATTAACACAACACCATTCAAATCCATTTGATTGTAGACTTCCCACTCTGCATTGATCTGCATTGATTTCAGATACGTACGCAGTTTGTTGGTGTTCTGGTTGTGTAGAGATCGTCTAGAGTCTCATCTCGTCTAGAGTTGATCTTCCCGCAAAACCCTTTTCAAGTCTAGGACTGACAATCAGACAGTGTGAAATCTAGCAAACGAATTTTGCGCGGGACTGTGTAGGAGGAGAGCATTCGGCTCAGCTCTTCCAAAGCTGCACTGGAAGAAGAGGCCTTCTGCTTCGTTGTAAGAGACTGTGTTTCAAAATGATTTGGTTGAGAGTTTTAGCAAAAGGTCAAAAGGTGCAGAAACAAATACAATGAAATAAAAGATCGGCTCCAACATGCATCGGGTTCTGTTTGCATGAGCCCGCATAAACCGAACTGGCGCGCCTTATTATGATTAGATCATCTTAGATCAATGTATGCTTCGCCAAATCAGACTTGGAGCCCTTGCATCAAGGCCTAGCTGGTCTAAGAATGTCTAAGAAATGTAAGAAAAATGCTACTTTTCTGCCTGCAGCGCCAGGTTCAGGCAGCCACTCTGGAAGCAAAAATGCAAGCCAGGCCCAAAAGTTGATGTCCTTGAGTCCTTGAGTAGCATGATGTGGCAGTTGTGAAGTCTTTAGTCACTTTAGCCACTTTAGTCCTTGATTCGTTGATGAACGCAAGTTGATTTGCCGAAACTTATACAAGCCTATTGCAAGCCTCAGAATTTCCCTCGCATCTTGGCTTTTTATGGGCGTACCCTTGGACAAGGTCTCCATAGTCATCAAAAAGATTCAAAAAACCTTACAGCATAGTGTGCTTCGCTGATCAGTTCCCCCAATTCATAGAGATGCAGCGCTGTTCATTATTGAAAGACACAAGACAAGTGCGGGCTCCCCGCCAGATATTTGGAGACGCAGCGGGCTTCAATGGAGGGAGCTGGATTCTCAGCCTTTGGGCAGTGTAGCAGCACTTCGCACGTTTCATTCATTTTTTCTCATTGAACGATGTTGGTGTTTCTGCTTCAGGATTTGCGCTGTTCAATCATGTCTTGGCTGTAATTGTTTTCAGTGCATGATGTGTTAATGCAGTTTATCCATGCAAATTTGGAAGTAAGGGGGCACACCAAGCACACACGCACGCAATTACGTGCATCGAGACTGCAGAAACAGAATGTATGGCTTCAGTGGGTTTATGTCTATGTGCTTGTTTGAGCTCCGTTTATGGTTGTGTGCGCATGGAATGCCAAACAGATCCTTTTCCTCTGTGTATGTACCCACAGATGTTGAATCAAGGCTGTTTGCGGTGATTGAACATTGATGTCTGAAAAGCTGGGTGATTCCAAGGACATCCAGAGCGGAGCAGAAGTCCAAAGCAGGTGCTGGGAGGAAGAAAATGAAGAAATGGATATCAACAGTTTCTACTGCAGATCCTCTCAACTTCTCAGCTATCCTGATACTATCTAGCCGACCTGCTTGATATTTCTGTGACATGGTGTCCTTGCCAGGGATTGGAAAAGCCGATCATTCTGTTATTGTGTATACAGTATACAGATATCTCAAAAAAAAATATACATACATGTAAATACAGTATACAAGTATGCATATAACCATATAAATATATATAAATGCAAGTACAAAAAAAATGAACATATAAATACACATTGATATAGATATGAATATCAACAATATAATATATATATATACATACAGTATCATATGAGCAATGATACGCAAAGACCTTATATGCACTGTGCTCCAGAGTCTCCAGACTCTCCAGACTCTCCACATTCTCCGAAGCCAACCGGGTGAATAAACATGAGCCTTTTGAGGGTTGCTGGAGTCGCTTCACTGGCAGGTGGAGCAGTGCTGGTGCACAGCTGCAATGGCTCAATGCTTCCCTGTCGGGTATCACGGATGAGCATCTCCTCCTCAAATCCCAGCTTCAGGACAGCCCCTTGCAGAGGACCCAGTGGACGTAGCTGCTGAGAAATATTGATTTTAATTTCTTATTCCATTGTCTTCCCTTTTCTACTGTTTGTCCTCCAGTTCTACTTGTTTTGACCTTCTCTGATCGTACGGCTACTCTTGTCTTCGTGTGTCTCTGTGCTGCATGGTTTGTCGCAAAGCTTTAAAGATTGTGCTGATGGTGCCTGCCGAAATTGTTCTCCAGAACAGCACATACAGTGAGACGCCTGCCAGCAAGAATAAACAAATCCAGCAGCAAAGACTTTCAACAGCTCCGTGACCACTTACTTCGTAGAAAGCTCCTAGAAGTCAGTGGCAGATCCTACGATGTTTCTAGACCACAAGTGCTTGATGCCTTAAATGCAGGAGCAGCAGATCTCCCTGCATGAAGAGAGCTTACAGCGAGTGCAGACTCATGTAGAGGCGCTGAAACACTCCGTTGGCTGCAACCACCCTGGTTCCATGCATGAAGTAAACTCAGAGGTGGCCAAAACTGTCAATGCTGATGGTTAACTTCCATTATGGACCAAAATTATATCAACTTACAATAATGTACACTCAATTTACTCTTTCCCATCACCTTCCCCGCCTGAATAGGTGCAACGCCTGCAAACAATGGTGACATCCTTGGTGCAGAACTTAGTTTCCCAAGTTGATTTTACGCATAGAAACTTGCAAAATTCCATTGACTTGTTGGAGCTTGCATCGAGCAAAGACCAATCAACTTCTATTGTCAGATGTCTATAGAATTCTATAGAGGTTTTCATCGTAGCAACATTAACACGGAGTATGCCCCGAGGATCGCACCCGGGAGGAATGGATGGCAGACCTCAGCCGGGTCTGGAGCCTCAGCCAATCTGAGGATCACCAGAATCACGATCGTGTCGCAACATGTCGCAACGTATGTGAGCCGCTAGAAAACTCTCAGCAGTTGCCTCGGATTTTTGCAGATGTCGGAAGAGTATTGGCAAAGGACATTCCACCCACAGACTATTCACATGCGGGGGAGAGGGGTTTTGTTTTTGTTTTTTTTTGTCTAGTCACGCCGAGTGACTCTGCTGATTGACCCAGTCTGTGGCATCCTTGCGACAAGCGCATGGATCGTTGACAGCCACCCTGCAACAAGAGGACAGCTCACGGGCCTAGCAGTGTCCAGGGTCCAACAAAGAGGGGCCTTCGTTATCCAGCCAGGTGTAGAAACTGTTCAATCTTAGGACAGATATGATAAAATGAATAAATACATATATAGCGCTAAAAGATAATAGCACTATATATTGTGATATAATATATATAATTATATATATATGATAATATATATATACGATATATATATATATATATGATATATGTACAGATATACATGTGACATACACATACACATGCACATACACATCCACATGAACATACACATGCACATGCACATCCACATCCACATGCACATACACACATGCACACATGCACATGCACATACACATACACACACATGCATATGCATATGCATGCAAACAAACAAAACAAACAAACAAGCATGCATGCATGCATACATACACACATACACAGACAGACAGACAGACAGACAGACAGACAGACAGACAGACAGACAGACAGACAGACAGACAGACAGACAGACAGACAGACAGACATACATACACATACAGATACATGCAGATACATACAGATACATACAGATACATACAGATACATACAGATACATACAGATACATACGGATACATACGGATACATACAGATACATGGAGACATACAGACAGACAGACAGACAGACATACAGACATACAGACATACAGACATACAGACAAACAAACATACAGACATACAGACATACAGACATACTTACATACATACATACATACATACATACATACACACACATACACACACTAGATTAGAATGGATCATTTGAGTGATCCGGCAGGAACTGAATCCTGTAACATGCAAATTAGACGGGAACCGAATTAATCTACGATGAAAATTATATATATATATACGTAAGATCACAGTAGACAATGACAGTATAAAACAACAGCGATAAAATATATGTCCCCCCCAGCTGCGTCTTAAATGCGCCCAGGGGCGGGACGATAAAGCAGGTACGTTTGCCTGATCATCCAGTGTGGAGCTTCGGTGGCAGAGGCCACAACTGGAGATCCCTCTGCCCCCTGCCATAAATTAAAATATAATATCATATAATATAAAGACGAAGTTTTACGTCTATTCAGACGGTACACACACACTAGACAAGAATGGATCATTATATGATCCGGCAGGAACTGAGTCCTGTAACATGCAGATTAGATTAGTTAATTAGATATGGATGAAATATATATATATATATATGGGACTATGGTGACCACCAGCTGCGTCTTACAATTGCGCCCAGGTGCGTCACCACAGTCCCGCGGGTACCTTTACACGGGTCCCCGGGAGGTGTCTTCGTTGGTCACCGACCTCCCAGGGACCCCGGTGACCCCCCGCGTATATACATATGTAATAAGTAAAAGAAGTTTTACGTCTATTCAGACGGTACACACACACACACCCTGCCTCCGGCAGGGTGGTGCGCGTAAAAATGAGATGAAAGTGAGGATGAACGGGGGATGAAAATGAGATGAGAATGACAATGAGATGAACGTTACTTAACCAGGACGCGAAGAGGGGAACGCAAAAGAAGAGGGAAGGAGCAAACACACACCAACACACCTAGCCCGGAGCGGGCGAACCCTGAAAAGGCAAGGGAAAAGAAAAAAGCGGAGGGTCGACGGACACGGACCAAGACCAGCGGAGGGGGGGGAAGACGGAAGCGCCTGAACCAACCTGCCAAAGCGAAAACCTACAAAACCTCAGCACGCGACGGAACCAACCTACCTGGGGAGGGAGGAGAGCATGAGATAGGGGACCAATGGGGAACTAGTTAGTGAAAAACAAAACCAAAAGCAGGATTCAGTCCCTAACAGCCTAAAATGTCGTGCGATTATTCCCTGCACCGGGACCGTGGTCAAGTCGTGCCCCAATGGCATAAAACAGCTGTCAAGTTCCATCGAATTAGATGCACAAAATGTTTAACCTCACCAGACAACCATCAAAAGAAAGAATCACCACACCTGAAAGTCGTGTGCCTGCCTGATTCCTGTATCAAATGCTGTTGTCATGAATCGTCAAAAGCAGCTGCGAAAAGGAGAAGGTTTCTGATTGTTTCGAACAACGTCACGCTTGAAGAATGCAATTCACGAGGATCACAAGGGACAATAGGAGCCGCGGGACTCTCGAAAAGGCTGATAAACCGCAAGGCTGATTGTTGCCCTTTACTTAAACGAATTACCAAGTTAAAATGTGTGAATTCAGAATTCAAGACTGTCGACACTCACCCTGAAGAGGGTTGCCTCAAATGGCTCCATGGCACCATGTCGGAGCCACCATGGAAATCACACTAGACAAGAATGGATCATTATATGATCCGGCAGGAACTGAGTCCTGTGACATGCAGATTAGATTAGTTACTTAGATATGGATGAAATATATATATATATATATGGGACTATGGTGACCACCAGCTGCGTCTTACAATTGCGCCCAGGTGCGTCACCACAGTCCCGCGGGTACGTTTACACGGGTCCCCGGGAGGTGTCTTCGTTGGTCACCGACCTCCCAGGGACCCCGGTGACCCCCCGCGTATATACATATGTAATAAGTAAAAGAAGTTTTACGTCTATTCAGACGGTACACACACACACACACCCTGCCTCCGGCAGGGTGGTGCGCGTAAAAATGAGATGAAGATGAGGATGAACGGGGGATGAAAAATGAGATGAGAGTGAAGATGAGATGAACGTTACTTAACCAGGACGCGAAGAGGGGAACGCAAAAGAAGAGGGAAGGAGCAAACACACACCAACACACCTAGCCCGGAGCGGGCGAACCCTGAAAAGGCCAGGGAAAAGAAAAAAGCGGAGGGTCGACGGACACGGACCAAGACCAGCGGAGGGGGGGGAAGACGGAAGCGCCTGAACCAACCTGCCACAGCGAAAACCTACAAAAACCTCGGCACGCGACGGAGCCAACCTACCTGGGGAGGGAAGAGAGCATGAGATAGGGGACCAATGGGGAACTAGTTGGTGAAAAAAAACAAAACCAGGACTCAGTTCCTAACTCCCAAAGGTCGTGCGTTATTCCCTTGCCGGGACCGTGGTCAAGTCTTGCCCCAATTGGCATAAAACAGCTTTCAAGTTCCAACGAATTAGGTGCACAATATGTTTGACCTCACCAAACAACCATCAAAAGAAAAAGACCACACCTGAAGGACATGAACCTGCCTGAAGCATGTATCGTGGAATGTTGCAATATGATTGCAAAAGCTGCTGCGAAAAAGAGGTTTTCTGGATGTTTGGCATGGAATCACACTGGAAGAGAAGCATTCCGCAAGATTCATTGGGACAGCCGGAACAGCGGGACTTCGCAAAATGGTGCATAACCGTAAGGCAAGCTGTTGCACTTTACTTAAACGAATTACTGGTACTAGATTAAAATGTGTTAATTCGGAATTCAAGTCAGTCGACATTGACCCCAACTGGGGTTGCCTCAATTGGCCCTATGGCACCATGTCGGAATCACCATAGGAATCACACTAGATTAGAATGGATCATTTGAGTGATCCGGCAGGAACTGAATCCTGTAACATGCAAATTAGACGGGAACCGAATTAATCTACGATGAAAATTATATATATAAATACACAAGATCACAGTAGACAATGACAGTATAAAACAACAGCGATAAAACATATGTCCCCCCCAGCTGCGTCTTAAATGCGCCCAGGGACGGGACGATAAAGCAGGTACGTTTACCTGATCATCCAGTGTGGAGCTTCGGTGGCAGAGGCCACAACTGGAGATCCCTCTGCCCCCTGCCATAAATTAAAATATAATATCATATAATCTAAAGACGAAGTTTTACGTCTATTCAGACGGTACACACACATACATACATACATACATACATACATACATACATACTTACTTACTTACTTACGTACTTACTTACTTACTTACTGACATTCACACATACATACATGCATACATACATACAAACATACATACATACATACACACACACATACATACATACATACATACACACATACATACATACATACATACATACATACATACATACATACATACATACATACATACATACATACACACATACACACATACACACATACACACATACACACATACACACATACACACATACACACATACACACATACATGCATACATGCATATATACATACATACATACATACATACATACATACATACATACAAACATACATACATACATGCATACATACATACATACATACATACATGCGTCCATCCATGCATGCATGCATGCATACATACATACATACATTACATACAATACATGCATTACATACATTACATACATTACTTACTTACTTACTTACTTTCTTACTTACTTACTTACTTACTTACCTACTTACTTACTCACTCACTCACTCACTCACTCACTCACTCACTCACTTACTTACTGACATACACACACACATACATACATACATACATACATACATGCATGCATATAAATATATATATATATACGTACGATATATATATATATATACGTATGATATATGATTTGTTTTTTAGATTATTTGTGACATGGTTTTCAATTTGAGACTCCTCAACTGATGTACTATGTGAGCATCATACTATGCAGATAGTGGAGTCCTTTAGCTCATTACAGACATTGACAGACCTTCACACCCGGATTGCAAGGAGAGTGTGCAGAGGACTTCTGATCAGCTGAGGCCACCTTTACTGAATGGTCACAATTGCAGATATGCCGATGCAATTCTGGACGGCTAGTTTTTTGGCACTGCAAATCAGATGCCATGGCACTACAGCCAGTAAATCCATGGTCTGTAGTCTGTAGATATTATTTAAATTTGTATTATTTTATATTCATATACACTCTATGTACACCTAGTTACTGAGTAGAGCATGTAGAGCTGTTTGTTGAGTTTTCTCTGCTAACAAAATCCCTATATAGTTCCGAACTAGTTCCTACAAAGAATATGCAGATATGCAGTCTGCTGAAGATCAGGAGCTGCAACTGGTCCATTTGTCGATGCATTTGCGGATATTTGCGGTCAGGCATCAACTCCTTGCATCGGAGAGGAGTTTGCACATGGCTGCTCAGCAACGTCATGAGTTGGCTGCAGAGGTCCGCAATGTGCTGTATTTTCTGACTTATGCAGTCGTGCGATATCTTCACACAGCTACGAGGTACATCGAGGTACTAAGTACTGGCGTATCATGGTGAATCTGAAGCATCCATGCCCGGAATATCCTGGCAGCAGAGGTTTTCTACCTGGCATTTCCTGAGTATGCTGCTTGTGTGCAGGTGGATGACTGGACTTTCGAGTTGCAGGAGCATAGTCGCAAACGGGATGAGGCGCTTGCAAGAAAGTGATGGTTTGGGAATGTGTTTGCCGAGTATCCAGCGAGCTGGGTGTTTGAGATTGAAGAGGGAGAACCGCATTGGGATGCAAAAACTACAGAACATGGCACCTGGCTATCACCATGTACCATGGGACATCATGGGACCATGCGACCATAGGATGAGCGTTTCATATTTCTGTGAGCCGGAAGGCCCGTTCAACGGCTGCACTACTCATGGACGAGCTACGGCAGGCTACACACGGGAAGCAAATATTAATCAGTGTCGGCGTGACTAGCAACAAATGCAACTTACGGATGGGAAAAACATTATATTTGTGGTGATATTGTGATGCAACAGTCTAGCGATCATAATGAAGTTTATTGTGGCAGGTCCTGTATATATGATGACAGTGTTTTTTAGTATTTTTTTAGTGGTGAAGCTGCTGCCATGCACGCCATGTGAAGCGGTAGTGTTTGTTGGCCTCATGGCAGGAATGACAAAACATATGGCATATGTGTTGTCAGTTTTTAATCATGTCATGCATAACGCATTATCAATTCAGAAACCAGACAATCTCAACTACATACGTTCGTCCTTTTTATTACTTTTTCTGACCGAAGAATGACCTCGGCTGAGGCTAGTGTGAAATACCAGGTGTGTTGAACACCAGATCCCAGAATGTCCGAGAATGTCCCAGAAAAGTGCAAAGGGTCGAAATGAATTGTTTGAGGCCTCCGTCCACGCCTCCGACGACAGTCAAAGGCACCACAAATTCGACATGATCAAGATCTCAACATGCAGTTCGGCGACCAACTGAAAAAAAAAGTAAACAATAAATTGCAAGTTGTTTCTTAGATGTTGTTTGTAGATGGAGGGCAGCACAGGTACTTGTCAAACTTTGGTGCAGATCGTTCTCGATAGATGTTATCTCGCTGGCCAAATTGAAAAACAATGTTGCAATATGATCAATATGTTGCATGTCTTGATATGTTTGGTAAGATTTATGGTAAGAAAAGCTCGGAGTTGACACTGTGACGCAGATGATCCAGCCATATCCAACCCCGGACACTTCCTCTTTTGCTGGCAGGCAGCTGGCTGATTCAGCAACGTGGCAGATTTTGGCGTTCCATTGTGGGGGTTGTGGTATTGTTTTTTGGAGCTGGGGACCGAAACAAACAAAATCCAGCTGCTGCAGTCAAATGATCACATCATAATAATAGCATATACAGTAGTAGCCACAAGAATGCACTGGCACTACATTATAGACCTTCAGACCTTTGCAGTTTTCCCTGAGGCCAGAGACACGTCGGTCAACTTGCTCCTGTTTGTTTATGGCGATGGAATTTGATGGAATTTGTCTAGAGGTTCGGTTGAACACTTCTGGTCGGCAAAGAAAGGAATGTTACGATATGTTAAGGAAATTTAAGGAGTATAAGGTTGCTGTGTTTTCTGCTCTGGGTTTTGCACCTGCTGATGCTTCCCCTCCTACAGTACCAGCAGCATCGCTGCCGTTGCCTTTCTGCTGCGCACAGTGTTGCATTGTCTGTGGGATTTGCCCCACCCACAGCTTTCTGGTGGCTATTCAGTTTTACTGCGCGATGCTGAAGAGGCGTTATATAACCGTTATATGATGCTATATGATGTTATATGAGGTTATATCGTTCGACGTGGACATGCATCACCCGCACTGAAGCTGGCGAGACGAGACACTCCATGGTCACCTGATGGTCACACAATTCGAAATCTAAGGACGGCCTGGACCGAGTGCAGGGAGAGGTTTATGATTTCCAGGACACGAACACAGGAAATCTGGCACATCCACCTTGCTGCCTTGCTCTTTCTCATCACACGGAACGGACAAGGGAAAGGAAGCCGTCGTTTACACATATCATGCAATACACAAGACAAGCTGTTGCTAGAACCAGGAATTGATATCACTAAAGCTTTCTGAGTGGGGAAATGGTTCATCTCCTGTCAATGTGGATTAGATTGCAGACGATCGCAGATTTTGGAAGCAATCACAGCAAGTGCCAAGCCGGTCATTTCCGATGAGTTGTGGCCGGAGCTTGCACCAGGATCGACTTGCCCGTGTTGACACAGAAATCGCTTCCTTGAACAGCAAGGCAGACAGACCCAGCAACCTCTGCAACATTGCTGGTAACACTCCTGACATTATCTTTGCGCAACAAATCTGCAGGCCAAGACCTGTTCAACCGATTGGAGATTTGTGTTGTTGGAATTGAAAGTGCTACTTTCTGAACGCGCAGTCTTGCAACTAAATTGGCAGCACTATACTGTTTGGGAGGCAAAACGAAGTGAGCTGGTGACGGAGCGTCGTCTTGAACGTGATAACAGCCTTTCAGTAACTTGTCAGAACACCGGTCTTGGAACAGATTTGAATCCCACACTTCCAAGCGGCTAATTCTGTGTTGTGGTTGAAAGATGAACATGGATGTCCAATGGATGTTATTGAAATATGATCAAATATGATGAAATTATGATGAGACGTGGCATGTCTTCCGAGATACCCTCTTATTGTTGATGTTTTTTGTTTGAAATACCGTATCACAAATTTATCATAATTTAGCTATATGTAATTATAATTAATTATATACAGTATATTTAGTGCATTTCTTATGTGTTCTGATGTGCTCTGCCCAGATATGTTCTGCAGAGCTGGCAGCCTCAGAGGTCGGATCGAGCTCAGAAGGGATGGATTCGTCCAAGATACAAACAGATAAGAAATGATAAGAATTTAGTTTTACTCAAGTTTTTCTGCTTCTGTTTTAGTTGAACGCTAAAGAAAATAGTCACATAATTACATGATCATTCATGGCCAGATTCATGATTTGTCATGATTCACCTTTGAGTCTTGGGGAATCATTGTATTTGACTGGATACTGGATTGATTGAACCTGTGTCCTTGCATGTGACTGGACTAGATCAAAGGACTATTCATGTCATTAACATTCATTAACTATATTAACTGATGTACGCACACACACACACATTTATAGGTATATGTGTATAATATATATATATATATATGATGTATATGTATACAAATCATGAATTGATATACTGAATACACATGTACTTACCATGAGATTGCTTGCGCCAGATTGCCTCGGAAGCAATTACCTCTAAGTGCTGGCAGCTGCAAGAAGACATTCAGGAGACCAACATCAGTCTTGGATCTTGAATGCATCGATCAAATTCGATCATAATGAATCTGAGTTTGTTGAACAAAAACTTGATCACAGGTTGCAATCTCAGAGTATCATCTAGTCCTCAGAAAGTGTTCGGGGAAAAGTTTGATGCAATTATTTTGCTGTCTTCGGAGCTGGTTGTGCCCTTGTGAAGAGACTATGATGTACAGCAAGCCAGCTTTTCTTTTTTGTTCCTTGTTTGATTAGGAATCACAGGAAGATATGGATGTGGTTGGATAATAAGAATCATGATAATATATATAATGATAATAAAGAATCGGAATACGGCTAAGAACAATAACAATAATGATGATACTGATGGTACTGGTGATAACAATAAAGCGTATTAATAGACAATGGTAATAATAGCAGTTACAACAATATTCTATATGTGAATCAAGTAGCAATGTTCAGAATTCTGATGAAGGCATTAAAAAAAATGCCAGGGACCTCAGGTAGTTGGCTTTTGGACCCTCGCTATGGCAAGGAGAAGACAGCTCATGCTTCTTCCGTTGAATTTGCAAGCAGAAAGCTGGAAGAAAAACTTGCAAGATGCACGGTTTCTCAGGTGCTCAAGCATGATAAAACTTTCGGTTCAGTGTCAGAGTGAAAGAACTTATCAGAGAGAGAAAAAGAGAGAGAGAGAAAAGAAGTCAGTTCAGAAGAGGACGGTGACACCATTTACCATTTGGTTTTGAAAAGTCTGCAAATTCAAAGATGCTACAGTAAGAGCTGATGCACAAGTCAATTTGATGATTTTCGTGTGATTTGTTTACTTTGGCAAGAGTCGGTCAGATGTCCGTCGGCAAGAAAGCCAGCCTAGCCATAGTCAGCTTTCCTATCAAGCTGTTCTATGGATGTTGAACCTGCCACAGTTGAGCAGGTTTTGTTTCCGGTGTGTTGAGGCCAACATGAGCTAGATGAGGTCAAAGCTTCAGCGTTTGGGACTTAGCTTCAGCTCTCCATGAATCTCCATGAGACTGCAGAGATCTCCACGGATCACTTTTATTGTCATGGAGCTGCCGAGCTGCCACCCAGGCTTCTTTTTTGTTGATCCGGTGGAATTTCTGCAATAGCCCTGCAACATGATTGTAGCCAAAAAAATATACCGTGCTTGTACTTCTCTGACACTGACAAGATAGAATGTTTTTCATTTTGCTTCTTGAGAAATATACAGCCCTCCAGGTTCTATGAAAGCTTGCCAGTAATTAATCGATAGATAGTAATCGGAACTTCGAATACTTGGTGGATCATAAGCCCACTTTGCACAGCACAGCAGCTAAGTACTCGTAGCATCTCGTAAGCTGCTTTCCTCAATGGCCGATACTATTTCTTCACCCTTCACCACAGCTTGCCTTCCCTAAGAAGTGTCGGAGTCATGAAGTGCCTTGTTGCCGCAAATCACACGATTTTTTTCCATAGATAGGAGAAGCTGTTTTTGAACCTTTGAACCACGACCTCTTCAATTTTGCAGGTTAATTCTGATTTCCGTTTGGAGCTCTCACCTTGACTTCTTGCAAGACTGTCTTGACCGAGGCAAAACGCCGCAGCAGGTGGGTCATCAGTCACCAGTGCTGTGGGATAGATGTTTGCGCTGCGTGGCTGTCAGCTGATGGTTGAGTTGCCACAATGCAAGCACAGCTCACCCAGAAATTTGATTGTTCCAATATGTTCCAATGGTGGCAAACGGACAATCATTTGGCTCAGGAGTGAAAAGTGCTCCAGACTCTAGGTTTCCGCACTCTCAGCGGCGCCTTGGTATTTAAAGTGCCTAGGCTTAGCATTGAAAGTGCGCTGAGTGGACCATGGCCCTCTACGTCGACCCTGCTGTGAAAGCACAGCAAGCAACGCGCCATGATGTTTGTGTCATCGGGCGCCATGAGAAGCATGGCTACCTCCTCTTGCTTCATTGCCGACCTGAGGGCAAAGAATTTAGGCTTCCTTCAAGGAAGTTTGAGCACCCTCAGATTGGTGGTGATGACTACTACAAGGAGGCACGACTTGCGGCGAGTCGAGAGATGAGGAAAAGGACAGGGCTCAGTGTGGCGCCTGGTCGTTTCAATCGAATCTATTTCCCAGCTCAAGTTCAGAAAAGGCTGGGCAACAGAGTTTTTTTGGAAGTTTCATTGTATGACTATGACTCCCTGAGCCTCGGCGAGACCGCCATGACGGGAGAACAGGACTTTTGGCTCCAGATCGAGGAAATTGATGGATTCACCTTCCATCGGGATCTTCGCCATGCAGCTACTGCCTTACGAGGCACCAGCAGAACCATGGCACATGCCTTGCTGGCTACAGAGGCCGTCTATCGTGAGACCTGCTGCTTCGGCGGCATCTTCATGAAGATGGCAGAGAAAGTGTGGGGAATCTGTGGATGGCCTTAGTTGCCAGATCAACAGTGAAATTCTCCAGGATCGAATGATCTACTACTTGACTTCCGGTGAGAACTGAGAGGCATCGAAGTAGAATTGATTTGAATACATTTGAAGAATAGGTGCTAGCCTTTGAACCGCTTGATTCCCACAATGGCGGCAGGGGCGAAGACCTTGAATGATTGATTCAGCTTCCATATACGGACATACAAAGCGCATTCCCTTGAGACACCTTGCCCAACTTTGCCACGGTGAAAAAGGCGTGGTCTTATTGTTGCTTGGTCTGTCTTGCTTGAAAGATCAGCAATGTTTTGCTGCAAAACAAGAACTGCGGAGAATCCGGGCATATCACAACCGAATCTGAGTGCACCAGTGCGCCAGGCAGTCACAAAGATGCTTTGTTTCCATCCTTCAGTGTTACTGTAGCAGTCCGTTGTGAAACACTACCTTTTTTCGGTACCAATCAGGTAAATGTCATGCTTTCACCACAGGCTGGGGTGATGAGCAGCGCGCTGCTGCTCGAGAGCTGGAGCTACTGAAAAAGGCGCAGCCGCTGAGGAGGATTGCAAGGAGCACTGCAAAGAGGATTGCAAGGAGAACCCTTGTTGATGTGAATTTCAATGGCAACAACATGCCAATGTCTATTGAATAGGTTTTCCATGTGGAAATTGTGTACGAATATGTGTACCAATGATCCTATGAAACTGCAAAAGGCCTAGATGCCTCGGGTCCAAAGCGTGAAAGAACATTTCCAAAGACAAACCATGACAAGCCGTGACAGACAAGCCATGACAAGCCCATCGGTGCTTGAGATCGAATTGAAGACCTTTATCAATCTTTGTGATTCTTTGTGGACATCTCTTCTGATGGCTTCTGATGCAGGCAGCCACCAGTCTTGATTCCGAGCGGGATGAGAAGCAGCGTACGGCAGATGAGCGAGTCTTGGACCCCCAGTTTGGTGTGTAGATGGAGTCCTTGGCGAGGCCGCAAATTCATCATGCATGTAACAGGATGTAGCAACATGTGACATGAAAAACTGTTATCTTTCTCTCTCTATATTTACATAATATAAATATATATATATATTATATTATATATACCTTGTAAACCATGATACTTGTAATTTTAACACCAAACCTCAAATTGATCGATTTTGGGTTTGGAGTTGAAATTTCAACACCGGAGTGGTTTTACCCGTTCGAGCCATTTTGAAGGGTATTATCTATCTATCTATCTATCTATCTATCTATCTATCTATCTATCTATCTATCTATCTATCTATCTATCTATCTATCTATCTATCTATCTATCTATCTATCTATCTATCTATCTATCTATCTATCTATCTATCTATCTATCTGATCTATCTGATCTATCTGATCTATCTGATCTATCTGATCTATCTATCTATCTATCTATCTATCTATCTATCTATCTATCTATCTATCTATCTATCTATCTATCTATCTATCTATCTATCTTCTCTATCTATCTATCTATCTATCTATCTAATCTATCTAATCTATCTAATCTATCTAATCTATCTAATCTATCTAATCTATCTAATCTATCTAATCTATCTAATCTATCTAATCTATCTAATCTATCTAATCTATCTAATCTATCTAATCTATCTAATCTATCTACTCTATCTACTCTATCTACTCTATCTACTCTATCTACTCTATCTACTCTATCTAATCTATCTAATCTATCTAATCTATCTAATCTATCTAATCTATCTAATCTATCTAATCTATCTAATCTATCTAATCTATCTAATCTATCTAATCTATCTAATCTATCTCATCTATCTAATCTATCTCATCTATCTCATCTATCTCATCTATCTCATCTATCTCATCTATCTCATCTATCTCATCTATCTCATCTATCTCATCTATCTCATCTATCTCATCTATCTCATCTATCTATCTATCTATCTATCTATCTATCTATCTATCTATCTATCTATCTATCTATCTATCTATCTATCTATCTATCTATCTATCTATCTATCTATCTATCTATCTATCTATCTATCTATTATCTATCTATATGCCCATGTACATATATTTAAAAAAACATGCGGAACGGGTGTGGGTGGAGATCGCATTGACATCTCCTTGGGCCCTGACAACGTGGTCTGAGCCTTTTCTCTGTGAAAGTGATATGATTTCATGTCCTCCAGGCTCAAGAGGTTGAGGATCTGAAGAGTGCCATTCAGGACTTGCAGATGTGTAGACTGCGGATTTGAAACACTTGTGTCAATTGATCAGACTGTTTCAGAGTTGAGCCGAGACAGTGCAACTGCAGGCTTCAAATTGGTAGTGTCCCGGGTATGGATGCCGAATCTGGGTCAAGTTAACGCAGATCTGACTGGCAGCACATTTAGACCATTCTTGCCATGAAGCTGAGCTGTGGCGCAGCCAGGACCACAAGCGATCGCTACTAGAAGCCCAGCAGGTTGGGGAAAGCAGCCTTTGTACTGGTAAGTCTCATCTTGATTTGTTTTGTAGCTCATTCAAAAATTATGAAACAAACACGTATTGAACGTAATATGGGATGGGAAGGTGGCTGCACATGCCGCACCTGTCATCACCACACATATTGTCCGCTGGCTCTAGCATGATGGCTTACCGACAGAGGGAGCAGGATGTTTTTTTGAAGATAGCCTCAAATAGTGACATGCCCGCTATGTTCCGGTTTTCGAATGTTTTTGAAATGAATGCTTGACAGGCCCTTGATGATCTTCGAAGCACTGCTGACCGTCAGTGTGGGACTTGGATGAACTAAGGCCCCAAGGTCCTGTGGTCAAATGTGGTCAGATGTCATATTTCAGATGTTTCACATTGTTTCACCGGGCTGAAAACATCTCAAGAGACTCAAGAGGCGGTCTGACGTCTCGCCATGTCTCGCCTGTGGCCGCATGGCCTGGAGAATTTCAGGCAGACACATTTGGAGCAGCAGCAAGGTCTGAAGCGCGACAGGCACCAGCGATTGCCAGTGCCAGGGTAAAATCTGTCAAAGCTTATTGGTGACACCAGCCTGCAAACCATTTCTCCTACAATATGTTCCATTCCATTTCCGTTTTCTGTGAATGTCTTCTTGAGCTAATTATTGCCTAGATGATTCGCAATTATCTTCTTCGCATCCGCCGAAAGTGCTCTGCAATTCAGATCTGATTCACCAGCATGGTTCCAAGAACGACAGAGTACATTGAGGGTGGCTTTCAAGGTGCTTTTCCACCAGAACACAGGTAAGGGTGACAGACATCCGGCATCGCTTGGGGCAGATCGGAACATTTAGAAGCACTTCGTCAACGCTCGGAGCGTTTGAAGATGGAGCTCACAGAGCGAAATAATGAGGCCAGCAGAAACTGTTGGATTTGCCAGGAACTTTCCGAAAAAAGACCAGCCAAAAGAATCCAAAAGATGATTGCATTGTGTTGTAATTAGTTTGAATATGTTTAAATAGTCTTAAACCCAGTCTGATAAAATGTTGCTTCCAGTCAGGCCATAGCCCCTATATGCCCCTATAGTGCTGTATGTCTCAAACCTTTGCGCAACAGTATTCGTGTTAGTTATCACAACCTTTAGCTGGAAACGATTTTTTTGAGAGATTCAGGAGACTTCTTGGTCCTGTTTGTTTTAAACAAGTTATATACTGGGCACATCCGGGCGCAGCTTTTGTCCGATCGTGGCTGGCAGTCCTCGGAATCTTTTTCCGGATCTTTGGGGCACAGCCCATGGCACAGGTGACGTGCGTGCTTGATGACTTGCAGCACATGGTGAAGGCCGGAGCGGCAAGTCGGCTGCCTGCTGTCTGAGAGATGTGAGTTAGACGCCACGACAGGCCGGCAGAACATTCTGTGTCATGTTTCAGACTTGCTGCTCTTGAAAACTCAAGAAAAGTCAGGCACATAGCTACGCAGAATCAACTCAACATGATACAACATGTGCCTAAATCCTGAATGTATCATAATGTATCTAAATGTTCGTCTGTAATGTCTCCCACATCGCGACGACCTTGAACATGTAAATGTGTGCTGTTTTGATTTTGGATATTTTGTCTTCACTGTAGATGGCGCTCAGAGAATTCCAATTGTCAACGAAGCCTCTGCAGATGTTGATGTCTCAATTTCATGCATTCCACCCATGAATCATTGAGAAGGAGAACCAAGAGTTGCATGAAGAAGTGCGGCAGCTTGAGATGAGCGTTTGGAGCTAAGTAAGTGAAGTGCCTCCTAGCTGTTTCGGTTGTCTGGACCAGCCAGGTTGGAAAGATTCGGAATGGAACCCAAGCACGGTGGCCGTTGACTATCTTATAGTATTACAGTATGTAGTATTAATATGTATTAATTATAGTATCTTATGTCTTTACTGGTGCCAGAGGATTTTCTCTGCGTGCAAAACAGTTCGGAGCAGATGGACTGATCAAAATTCCTGGAGGGACTGAGTTTAACGAGTTGGGGTTCGATTTTGGCTCACAGAACTCTGACATACAGATACATACAGTAATTAGTACGTAGTATAGACTAGACGGTATAGAGTAACTTTTGATTCCAGTGGTAAAAAGCTGATTGTATGAGTGAATCCTTCAGGGATGGAAAAGATCCGGCAGATAGATATCATTAGAATGAAATAGAATAAGAATAAAGATCTCATCAAAGGATGGCTTGCTCCTGGCTACTTACGCTACTTATGGGATTAGTGCAGAGCTCTTAGACTCTTGGCAGTACACTGGTAACACTGGTATCCTGCCAGCGACATGAGACATGGCTTCCTCCGCAGCTTATGGCTGCTTTTTGCTACAGCTACCTGGACATACCCGGAAGGTGTTTGCCAAAGAATTCGATACAATTCGATACAGGATGTGGATGAATTATGATGAATTTGGGATAGGCTTTGATGGCAAATGCAGTTCTGCCCATTGAAGTGGGAAGGCCTGTGAGCGTCATCCCTGGGACGTTTGTTGCTGAATGGGGTGAGAAAAAGAGCTTGGATAATGTGGCTATCTGCAAAATTGCACAGCTTTCATGAGCATTGATGAGCTTTGCAGAGCAGGACGATAGGTCAGATAAGATGCAGCTCAGGCTGTGATATGGCGATGGCCGCTGCCGTGGAGGTGCATGTGTCAAGACAATCCAGACTCAGATATATAGTATATATAGTTAGGAACGCAGATGTCCAGCTGTGGCGTGTAAGTATCAACCTGAAGCATGTACCAATCTGCATGTTTGGTAAACTGTGCCAAGTCATTTGCTGGATGAAGGGGCGATGAGAATCTCAATTCCCAATTTCAGATCGGGAATTCTGTCAGGTTTTATCATTTTTTTCTGTGGTTGGGATTCGGGTATGTGGTATGCCATCGTAAGAATTTTCCGTGGTCCAATCAGGTCCTTCGTCTACAGACCTGGCCGGCCAGCGCTGACCTGGACAGCCAGGAGGTCGGTGAACGCTGCCGATGCTGCCGACGGAGGTGTGGAATCACGCCTGGTGTCAGCAATTGCGGCTGGCGAGGTGCCAATCGATGCCAATTGGCTGCCAAACGCCATCAAACGCCCAAAACGCGCCATAGCAATGCCATGCCAATGCCATGCATGGATGTCGAGTTGGATGTTCTGTGCAACGATGTTTCCACCGTGGACACGTGTTTACGTCAGTTGTCACATTTAGCTTGTACCACTAGAAGAGGAATCTCAACGCAGAAATGTAGACTGGTATAGAAAGTAATAGAAAGTAGAAAGGTACTGTACATATGAACGGAAGCCTGGACGCTTGGATCCTGTGTTTCCAGGCCGCGGAGATTCAAGATTTTCTAGTGTCCGGAGGTCGCTTGGTGGGAAGTCTGTCAACATTTTAGGCTTGATGGTATGGTGGGCATGGTTCAAGCACGTTCGGTTAAACTTTTCTGGCAGCCTCCGACACCATCTGACATCCTTATGATCCTTTATGAAACCAGACGGCTGGTACAGGGAAGAGTCGGGACTCCTTTGACACATTTTGAAGCAACAGCTCCTGCACTAAAATTGATCAGCACTGCACATATGTATGTGATTATATGTGATTATATGATATTATATGTGTATGTGCATATTGCACATGTCATGCCGCAGTGATGTATATTAGTCAGACCAAGGCACGCTAAATGTGTACTGTATGGGTTGTACCCTCTCTTTGCATCCCCAAGCCAAGGGCAACCTTTAGAATATCGACAGCTTCTCTTGTTGTACGTTGGCATGCCAAAAACTATATGCACCCACCATGACTGCAGCTGGAAATTAGAGGATGCTTCAGAAAGGAAAATTGTCAAAATTGTGCTTGAGATGTCATATCTGTCGATACTTCTGATCGAAGGAAGTTTAGAAGTCAAACTTCCGACAATATGGACAGATGAAAAGCAGAGATGGGAAGAGTCAGAGAAGAGAAGAGGAAAGAAGATCAAAAAGAGAAAGTCTCCGAAGAAAGAAGATCCAGGTGCGCGAAAAGGTGGGAAAGTCGCGAACCAAATGTGTTTTTCCAATGATTTGTGGCTCCGGAGGATCGAAAAGTAGGCTTGCTAAAGCAGCGGTGCGGAGCCAGCTGGCCAGATGAGAGATGAAAAATTGCACTCCGTTATCTGGCACAAAGCACATGTCCAAGTCAAAATGCACAAAACACCTCAGCTTCGGAGCACTTTTAGAAGTTGAGATGTCGAAAAAGTGCACGCCTGTGTGGCGCGAAGCGCATTTCCAAGTCAAAATGCACAAAACCCTGCAGCTCCGGACCACTTTTGGAAGTTGAGATGTCGAAAAAGTGCACGCAGTTGTGGCGCGAAGCACATTTCGAAGCCAAAAGTGCAACAAACTGAGGGGTACGGAGCATCTTTGGACGTTCAGATGTCGTTTTGCGTGGCAGGCGCAAAGAAGGTTTTGTAATTGATCTGGGGTCTCTGGAAATTGATTCTTGGGTCTTTCCAACTATTTTATATATGGTGGAATTGAATTGTATTATAGGTACCTTATTATTTCTCCTATGAGGTAATTAATTGGTTGATTAGGTATTATTTCACCATTGGTTCTTTAATATATCTATTTGTTTCTTACCATGCTCATAGATAATCATACGTACATTATTTTTTCACTTTTAGGCAACCAATCGGTTGATTAAATTGGTATCATCCCAGTATCGATTACGATCATTTTTTCTATCATATTCTTTGGATAAACAGGGGTCCACTACCATTTCCCTTAAAGGGTACCCGACCAATTGCTGGATTAAAATGGAATGAGTATTATCCCTTTATAGGGTGTGTACTATATCTATTTGTTTCAACCACACTCATATTTCTTCTAGGGTGGTGTCCCCATACGCCTTTGATATAAAGCCATCAATATTATCCCTGATGATCACCCTTTTATTAAAAAACTATATTTCCCCGTTATTTCTACGTCTACATCATATATCCTTTAAATGCAATGTCCAATTATGGATTTTGCCGAACTCAGCGAGCAGAAATCTGCACCTTGACTTAGGCATTTTGTTTTTTTACGATACCTAGGTGCTTGATGGGGTATTGCCTAAGTCAAGGTGCAGATTTCTGCACCTAGACTTCGACAATACAGAGGTTGTACCCTGGGATTTAGGAAAAAACAAATTGCCGATATCAGGGTGCATAAATTTGCATGTGGCCTTAGGAAACAGCCTTACTTCGGTGCCGCCGGGAACTTGTGTAACTTATAAGTTAGTTACGGTAGTTATAGTGTAAGTTATCTTGATGGTTTTTTATAGAGCTTATAAATTCATTTTAAGTTCATTAAGTTCTAAGTAGGGTTATTTGTCAATTTATGTGATGATTTGTTTTTTGGCGTTTGAAAATGTTTTTTTGACGGCATGTGTTTAAATGTGTTTTGCTTATGTTTTTCCATGCGGTTTCATACACATTGTTTTTTTTCTAGTTCCACATTTGCGGATGGTCATTACAAGGGCCACAACTGATTGTTGTCGTGGCGTACGTACATGAATTGTGCGCAAAGAAGAAGAAAACATGCTAAAAACCAAGAAGGAAATTTAGTCCGCACTCATCCGCACTCAGCAGAGTTTTCTGCGGTTTTCACTCGCACGCATCCACACTCACACAACAAGGCCAGAAGCTTCCAAATCAACTCCGCACCCACGCCGCACTCACATCTTGTCAAGCAGTAATGAATGTCGCACTCATCCGCACGCATGTCTAAACTAATGCGTTTTCTCCGCACTCATCCGCGCTGATCCGCACGCATTGTGCACCTCTGCATCCGCGCAGGATGTTAAGCGACTTCCGCCTCACTCGGAAGTGAGCGGATACTTATCAAAAATCTCTGTGGCGCTTGGATATGCCTCTCCATGAGCCTACCATCAGCCAAATCGATGATTTCGATACATGAGCCAAAACCACAAAAAAGTGCTTGTTTTTTTGCAAAAACAATCTTTGTAAAAAAAAATATATATATATATCAAAAAGCGTGAAAAGGCTAAGTTCCGTAACTTCCCAATAACTTCTAGACATGCTACGCTTATAAAAACGTTAACTAGCTTATAAGCACATAACTTTTCACTAACTAACGATTTTTTAAGGAACTTATATAGTAAGTTATCAGGTTATATCATAACTTACCCCAAGATAAGTTGTAAGTTACAATATAAGTTCACAAGTTTCCCGCAGCAGCAAAGTACCTATGATATTCTACCATGTTTTTTCCGCAATGGATTCGGGGTCCTTCATTTTGAGATTTAGGAAAAATATTTTTGTTGCCGATCTTTGGCTCGGAGGACCCCAAATCCATCGCCGCCGCAAGTCCGTCGCATAACAATATTTTTTTATTCCATCTAAGTAATCAACCGAAGAGCATATCTGAACTACGATCGAATTGGTGATCGTTTGTTCTGACTGGTGCTTCCACGAGTACAGTAGAAGGGTAAATGGATGGAGAGGCAAATTGTCAATCCCCTTCTTGGCATGACAATCGAATGGCGGATAAGAATTAATAACATTGAAGCATCCAAGGGACACTAACCCAATACGATTTTTCCTTAGGGATAAATTTCACTAGTATAGACCAAGGCCACCTACCTTGATAGATAAGATAGACAAAGAAATAAATGTTGAAAAACATATATCACACAATCAGGGGTAGAGCTAAATTACCAAGGACACCAGGAATCAAATTCCAAAGGCCCCTTATCGGCTGCAAAACCTTAAAGGATGCACCTTGTCAAAAGTGAGCAAAACGTGAAGGTTTTGTGGCATTTCCAAAAACGATGGCAGGCGTGGGACATTTGAAGAGGATCTGCAAAGATGCATTTTCTGTGGCAGGAGCAGTACAAGAGAGATGTTCATCAGAGCTGTTAGGAGGTCCGGGCGCTGATTTCCTGAGAGGGGTTGCATTTTGGAGCATCAGATCTTCAGGTTTGCTGAGACGATTTTGCGTCACAGGTGCAGCACTTCGTGTGACCTGGCATCACTTTTTCATGGCAGGCGCGGTACTTTAGACAGGTGCATTGAAAAAACTGCAAAACGCAATTGGCACGAGGCCGTCAGCTCTGCACTCAACTTTCCATTTTTGAAGGAAGTCTCGCAGAATTGCTTCGTTTTTGACGTTGTCAACTTCGAAAAATGAGGAATTCTCGCAGAATTGTTTCGCTTTTGATGTTGTCAAGTTCAAAAATTGAGGAAGTCTCGCAGAATTGCTGCGTTTTTGATGTTGTCACGTTCAAAAACTGAAGAAGTCTCGCAGAATAGCTCAAGCTTGCAGATAGACAGATAGATAGATAGACAACTACAACTGCAACTACAACTACAACTACAAGTACCACTACACTACACTACACTACTCTACATTACACTACACTACACTACTACAAGTACAAATATACTACGCTACATTACACAACACTAATTACACTACACGACGCTACACCTCACTAATTACACCTAATTACACTACACTAATTGCACCTAATTACACTACACTACGCTAATTAAATTACAACAACAACAACAATTACTACTACTACTACTACTACGACTACTACTACTACTACGACTACTACTACTACTACTACTACTACAACGACTACAACTACAACAAAAACAACAACAACAACTACTACTACTACAACTACTACTACTACTACCACTACTACTACCACTGCTGCTACTACTACTACTACTACTACTACTACTATTACTACTACTACTACTACCACTACCACCACCACTACCACCACCACCGCCATTAAAGTGCAGTACATTACAGCTAACAAACAGAAATACAACTACAACTACACTACATTACACAACACTACACTATAATAATTACATTACATTACGCTACAACTGCAACTACCACTACATTGCACTACACTACACTACAACTACAACTACACTACTTTGCACTACAAAACACTAGACTACACTACACTATATCACGCTACAGTACGCAACACTACAGTACACAATACACTACACTAATTACACCACACCACAACTACAACTGCAACTGCAACTACACTACACTAACTACACTACATTACAACTACAACTTACAACTACAACTCCACCACGCTACAACTACACCTACAACTACAACTACAACTGCGCTACACCACACTACATCCAGCAGTTGTGGTGAGGCGGCCACCGCAACCATTGCAACCAGTCCAGGAAACACAACTCCAACCACCTTTCGGTCCATCAGTGGATTCGCTCTGCCATCCGTGAGTCACAGCAACCAACCCTTCCTATAGGTTTCCTATTATTGAAACTTCCGCCACCGCTTTGTGCGTTACTACTGGTACGCATCTTGATTTGCAAGGGTAGGAACACGTAGGAACGTTTATCGGTATCTCTTCGTTTCAGCCATGATCAGGGGGAAATGGGGCTGTCTTTATCCAAGGGGCCGATGTCAATCTTCCGAACAAGAATGGTCAGATTGCTTCCTGGCAAAATTTGTGCAGTTTCACAAGTTTTTGCTAATTCTGTTCAATAAGATAAGACAGGCAACCCGGGTAACCTGCTCCTTGTGCACCTGCTGCGGCGGGCCTTCAACTCAGGCTGTGGTAGCAGCTGCTATCAGCGGAGACAGTTCCATCGTTGAAATGCTTCTAGCAGCCAATGCTGATGTGGATGCTCGCAATGCGAAGCGATGCTGCACTTTTTCGCTGAATGGGTCGGGTTCTTTTAGGAGCGGTCTATTGTACATCATCAAGCGGAGGGCTGGTCAAATGACACGGCTGAAGATATCGAGTTAGAATCATACACTAGCAGAGTACATGGATTGGGACACATTGTCCTTGGTTGCTTCGTTCACTTTCTGAGACATGATTCATGATTTGTGTGGATGCTGAAGGTAATTAGTGAAGGACATTTTAGGTGCCAGAGTCAAACCATATCCTCGCGACAAGGACAATAAAGGGAAAGATGCTACCCTTCCAAAGCTTTCGAAGTTCAAGTGAGCAGAGAAATTTGCATTCGCCGAGTTCTTTTTGAGTGCTATAAAGTTGCAAAGATACAGGTGGTGTGCAGCAATGACAAATTAACTATTCAGCTTGCAAGACTTGGAACGAAAGTAGGATGTGTACTTTGAAACCTTAGACATGGAAAAGTAGCTGTACGAACACTAACCAGCCTGATCCCTGTGACTCATTTCCACTGGACACGGCAAGGAACGGTGTGAGTGCCATAGTTGCTGCTTCTCACTTGGGGCACTACGAGGTGGTGGAAAAGCGTTTTGGCGAAGCACTATGAACGGGTCGCAACGGATTCGATCCTGAATCAGGAACTGAACTGTTGAAAGCGAATGGGTAATCAATGGTAATTATGTACAACATAGTGCAGTAACATGTAGTAACTTGATATATATATATATATAATGATATGTTCCAATATGATCAGCAACGCAAGCAGAGACTTGTTTACTGTTTTCAGTGACTGGTCTTTGATAGAGACTCTACAAAAGGCTTAGTCCGGCTTCTTGTACAGGAAACAATGCGGAAATAGACCAGGTTTTCATAGGTTTTCTGTGTTACTTGGAACCTACTGTAAGGTTCCCAAAAAGCAGCAGTGTGGCCATACTTGTGAAGTTTCATCGAATTTGCAAACTCAGACACCTGTTATATCCTGTTATCACCTGTTAACATTTACGAGTTGAGATGTTTCAGACACTTTCCAAGAGTCCAATCATGGCACTGCAACAGAGCCCTTGGAACCTGTGTTGACTGGCCGTCACCATCATTCTTGCGGCGGGCAACTCTCCCTTCCCAGCCCTTCCCAGCCCTTCCCAGGTTGATTCAGGCTAGATGTGATGTCGACTCTGTCAACAAGGCCACTTAGTTTTCCATGGAAACCGTCCTCACAATATGCGATTACTTTTTGCTTGTAGACTTGGTCAAAAGGCAGATGCTTGACTCTGGCCAAGGAAATGGTGTTGTCCAAATATTTAATATAGCAAGGATGAAACATGTATGTATCATATATATATATATATATATATAATTTATTTAATATATATAATTATATATATAATTATTGAATATAAGTATATATATATATGATTATATATATAATTTGCTATACCCCTTCAATGCTTACTTTAAAGCGTGGCAAACCTGCAGGCCAAAGGGGGTGCAACGCCTGCGGCAGAAATTTAGAAATTGTGGGTCAAAATAGCGGGCCACCCTCCAGCCACTTTTCCCCGAACTAACTTTTGCAGCTCTCCCAGGCCCGCCTGAGAAATCCCCAATCCCAACTGTTTCCACCCAGGTCCTCCCAGGTCCTCCAGGTCCTGCCAGGTTCTCCCAGGTTCTCCCAGGAAATTGGTGGTTTCCTGCGATTTTGTGGGGTTTCCGGTATTTCCTGGGAGAACCTGGGTGGAAACGGGTGGGGGTGCTGAGCGAACACCGTTTTGATATGTATCCTGCACCATTCAAAAACCCACGTTAACACCCAGAAACCTTCAAAAATTAAAACCCAGGCCCCAGAATCCTGATTTATATTATATGCATTACAGGGGTTTATCAATTTACAATTATATATATATATATACATATATATATATATTATAGACAACATGTTTCATGGACGTGACCAACGTGCTTGCTGCAACCGCAACCTGATTGGCCTGCATTACAACTATGCCACCATTTCAACAGGATGTACCTACTTAAAGCGGCTAGTCGTTAATACGCTGATCATCTAGGTATAGACACAAAGAATGATTCTGAATTATCTCAGATCTTTTGTTTTCATGAAATTGAGCTAGATTAATCATTCAATGGAACATTTGGAACACGACCAAGCTATGTTTGCTAATCTCTGATCTGAATCTGTCCCAGGCAGGTGCTACCGCGCTTGTAGCTGCCGCTGAAGGAGGGCAACTTGCGGTGGTGGAACTGTTGCTTGAGGCCTTGACTGATGCTACTGATGCTACTGATGCTACTGATGCTACTGATGCTACTGGTTGCTGATACTGCAGGTCTCAAACATTTGGCGGTCTTGGATGCTGTAGATCATTTTGAGTCACCGTGTTCTTTTGAGGATATGGATAGGATGTCAGCCATCAAAATGATCGCTGTCGCGGAACGTTTTCAGAGGTTCAATCAGTGTCCAGGCAATGATGTGAAGGTCGGGGGTTCGCTTGGAGCGCCGGAAAGTGGATCGCTTAGAGCGCCGGAAAGTGGATCGCTTGGAACACCGAAATGTGACACCCACAGAGGGATAAGAGATACATAGCGCTAAAGTCTTACATATATACACAGAGGCTCACACAGGCGTAGACACATAAATGGATGCATTCATACGTGCCTACACGCAGAAGCACTGAAGCACGCAGGTAGCATTGGCAGATGCACGCAGAAATACATGTTCCACGCGATCCGCCTTCCGGCGCTCGAAGTGCTTCTGCCCTCCGACCCTCTAAATAACATAACAGAACATACCACAACATCCCGTTACATTACATAACATTACATTACATTACATCACATACCATTACATAACATTACATTACATCACTTTACAATACATTACAGAACATGCCATTACATCACATAGCGTACCATTACAATACATTACAATATTGCATTGCAGGACATTAATTACAGTACATTACATACCATTATGTTACGTTACACCACATTACATTTACATTACATTACATTACAGTACGTTACATACCACTACATTACATTACAGTACATTACATTACAGTGCACACCATTACATTACAGAACATTACAGTACATTACATACCATTATATGATATTACATTACATAACATACCGTTACATTATATACATTAAATTACATTACCTTACATAACATACCATTACATTATATACATTAAATTACATTATACACCTACACACCTACACACCTACACACCTACACACCTACATACCTACATACCTACATACCTACATACCTACATACCTACCTGCAGACATGGAGACATGCATACACACACACACACATATATATATATAGCTTGCAGAAAAAGGGGGGGTACAAAGATACAGGCAGACAGGCAGACATACATAAATACATGCATAGGTGATCATGGATGCATGCAAGCATTGTGCCATGCATGCACATATACACACGGACGCATACACAGACATATGTACATAGAGCATGCATGTCAGCATGGCGATCCAGGGCTGGTGTGGAATCGCGGGGCGCATGAATGGGACGGATAGTGAAGTTTCCCTTTTTTCCCCCATTTCTGCTAGTTTTGTGAGTACCTTGGAATTGATTATTGAAGGTTTTGAGATACAGGTGGATAGTGGATGGTGCTGGATGTATATATGGACTAGTGGCCTAAGAATAGAAAGGCCCGGGATGGTGTACGACTAAAAGGTCTCATTCCCTGGTTCTCTAATGTAATCCACCTTGCTGGTCCCCTAAACCCGCCCCATGTCCCACTCTGGTGCTCTAATGTAATCCACCATGCTGGTCCCCTAAACCCACCCCATGTCCCAGCCCCGTGTGCCCAAGTCACACCCTAAAGATCTCATTCTCTGGTGCTCTAATGTAATCCACCATGATCACCATGCTGGTCCCCTAAACCCACCCCATGTTCCAGCCCCGTGTCCCCAAGTCAAACCCTAAAGGTCTCATTCTCTGGTACCCCCTCCATGTCCCAGCCCCGTCCCCAAGTCAAACCCTAAAGGTCTCATTCTCTGGTACTTATGTAATCCACCATGCTGGTCCCCTAAACCCACTCCCATGTCCGCCCTCACCCCCGTCCCCAGTTCACACCCTAAGGTCTCATTCTCTGGTACTTAATGTAATCCACCATGCTTGTCCCCTAAACCCACTCCATGTCCAGCCATCCCCGTCCCAGTCAAACCCTAAGGTCTCATTCTCGGTACTTATTAATCCCACCATGCTGGTCCCCTAAACCCACTCCATGTCCAAGCCCCCGTCCCCAAGTCAAACCCTAAAGGTCTCATTCTCTGGTACTTACTTATGTAATCCACCATGCTGGTCCCCTAAACCCACTCCATGTCCCAGCCCCGTCCCCAAGTCAAACCCTAAAGGTCTCATTCTTTGGTACTTATGTAATCCCCCATGCTGGTCCCCTAAACCCACTCCATGTCCCAGCCCCGTCCCCAAGTCAAACCCTAAAGGTCTCATTCTTTGGTACTTATGTAATCCACCATGCTGGTCCCCTAAACCCACTCCATGTCCCAACCCCGTCCCCAAGTCAAACCCTAAAGGTCTCATTCTTTGGTACTTATGTAATCCACCATGCTGGTCCCCTAAACCCACTCCATGTCCCAGCCCCGTCCCCAAGTCAAACCCTAAAGGTCTCATTCTTTGGTACTTATGTAATCCACCATGCTGGTCCCCTAAACCCACTCCATGTCCCAGCCCCGTCCCCAAGTCAAACCCTAAAGGTCTCATTCTTTGGTACTTATGTAATCCCCCATGCTGGTCCCCTAAACCCACTCCATGTCCCAGCCCCGTCCCCAAGTCAAACCCTAAAGGTCTCATTCTTTGGTACTTATGTAATCCACCATGCTGGTCCCCTAAACCCACTCCATGTCCCAGCCCCGTCCCCAAGTCAAACCCTAAAGGTCTCATTCTTTGGTGCTCTAAGTGATCCGCTTTTTGGCCGTAATTGATCCCATGGTGCTCTAACCGATCCGGTGCTTTAAGTGATCCACTTTCGTGCTGTAAGTCATCCCTGAACATCCTTAACCATGTGAGGCCGAGGCAAATGTCAACCATGCTCCTTGGCCTTTGCAGAGAGTCAAAATTTGGAGATCTGTTTTGGGAATGACTATGGGTAGCTCCATTTCTATCCTTTGTCAGGACTTCTAGGAAGGTGCTTTCAAGCGTTGCCATCCTTTCTCAGGTAATTGCCTGCAGGAAAACTCAAATGAGTGCACTGGACACAAAATTGAAACGTGTGTTTGCATATGAATCATCAGTTCCAAGATGCCTGCATTTTTTGTGGAAGGTTGGCGCTATGCAGTCCACGCCACTTTTTGCAGCTGTGCAGGACTGCTTTCGCACAGACACAGAGGGAACTGTTTTCCATGCAAGACCCCTCGTTGTTTGAACGTGGCCTGCCTTTTCAGAAAGGAAACTTAAACACCAGATGCTTGTGCCGGAACCACGGGCCCAGGTCGGAATATATGCCACTGAATACCTGCTTTTGAATGCAATGTGTCAGGAGGGGCATGAAACCATTGTATCTTTGCTGCTGAAAAACAACGCAGAGCCAAATCACGCTGCTCGGAGCAATCAACTGATGGTCATGGTGAGAACCAAGGCCTTTTGTCATGCTTTTGATGCTGCAAGATGAAGGTCCTCAGGAATTCCTTTAGCCAATGAGCATTAAGACCATCATGCAAAATCACACAGAACGGTTTAAGAGATGAGAATCTGATGAGAAGGTTTCTGTTGGCTGCCAAGTGATCAAGGTGGCAGCAAATGGTGCCAGTGCACTTGCAGTTGCAGCCCAGTTGGGCCACTCGGTCGCTCTTGGCATGTGAAGAGTCGGAGAGCAAGTCGTGATTTCTGACGTTTCAGTCATACCCTTGAATTCTTCACCGCAGCACTTGCTTGCATCCAACAGAGGATTTGCCAACGTTGCATCATCTCTTCTGCAATCAAATGCTATGGTGGACTACCAGAATGAGCAGGTCATGAATGCCTCTGCTTTGGTGCAATCCTCCCAACAGGGTCATGTGGATGCTTGGTGCAACGACGATGTAAGACTCACGGGAGCCAACAAAGTTGGGAAATTGGCTGTTGTTTCAGACAATCACTTCACCGCCTCATTTCTTTTCTCAATTTTCTTCGCAAACTGAGCAAACGCAGGAATTCCAGTTTGCAGCCTTCACTGACATGCCCTGGCCGTCGTTCAAGATAAAGCTGCCTTCCGTGCTGCGTCAATCATCGTGCATCTCAATATTCGATACAGCAGAATAAAACTCAACTCATATCAACCCGTTATTCTTTTCTACGAAGGCGGAGATACCATTTCATACCAATTCGAGGAACGGGAAGTTGCTGCATTGCTGTAAACACTGTAAGCATCTGTAAGCACTTTTGCTTTCTTGGCAACCAACATCTCGGGCTGTCAGACAAGACTCCTTGGTCTTTTTCCATCCTTGATCCTTTTCCATCCTTTTTTACCCCAAATTCGTTCATGAACTCTCCTTGCATGTCTCTGGAGTTGAATCATGCGTACCCTGCAGCTTCTGTGTCGGTTTCACAGCGTGCCTGTGGAATGCAATGATACAGTCCTTTGGTGTTTGACGTCAAACACTGCTGTGAGCAGCTGCGTAAGTTGTCCCAACATGTCCCAACATGTCCCAACAAAAACCTTCACTAGCACAAGTACCTGGCAGCTTCTGACGTCACATCCGTTTGCTCTCCGGCATCTCAAGGACATGGTGGAAGTGCTGCTTGCGGCAAAGGCTTCAGTGGATTTACCATGCAGTGATGGTGCAACGGCTCTCATCCTGGCCTCTCAGGTCTGCCGGTTGAATGGTTTGGATGGTTTGGCAAGTGGCTTTTGGCGGTTGGAGTTTCACAGATCAGTGAGATGGATATAGATGGATACACAATGATACTAAATTACACTGACATACCATGATACACCAGACTCAGAATGAAAGCATGGACAGCGAGGAGTTGAAGATTAAGGTCATTTTTGTTTACAGAGCACCAGCGCCACAAAATCTGACAGGTGGGCCACCAGGCAGTCGTGTCCAAGCTGCTAGCGACTTGGCTTAGCAAAGTGGCTGCGGCAATGGCTGTTTGTTTGGCTTGTTGTTTTTGTGTTTCTCCATTTATTAATTAGTTGTTGGGCTGTGAGTCAAAACAAAAAGAATAAATGACAGTACAAGGAACCCATTTGACAGGCTTTGCAATCACTAGTCACTAGTCACTGGTTCTCTCCCCAAGTTGTATGGTGTCACATGTGAAGTACTCACATTTGAATGGTATGGGCAAGCTCTCTACAACTCTTTCGAGACGGAGCAATATGAGCACTGCAAAGTGTTAGGTGGTAGTGATAGCAGTTACAAGTGACAACTTGTAAATCTTAGCTGCAGTGATGATATGGTCATATTTATGATCATATGATTATTATTATTATGTCATATTTATAGTCTATCAGCCTGCACTCGGCCTATGCGATCCAATGTGATCCAGTCAGGCTGCAAAGGCAGACCCCAACAGGGGCCGCAACGATGGTGGGACGGCGCTCATGTTTGCTGCACAAGAAGGCCATTTGAAAGTGGCGAAGTACCTTGAGCTGATTTGAGCTGCAAGCGCTAGTGACTGCTAGTTACTGCTAGTGACTGCTAGTGACTGCTAGTGACTGCTAGTGACTGCTAGTGACTGCTAGTGATTGCTAGTGGCTGCTAGTGACTGCTAGTGACTGCTACTGGGTGACTACGCTGACAACGTTTCTGCGGTAATATGCAGTAACTTACACTTTGGACACTTTTGGACAAGAAGTGTTGTGTTTTTGTGCAGCTAGAGGCGTGCGTAGGTGTGGTTTGGAAATACCTTAATTTTGCTACAGTAAACTTCCAGTTGTTCTGCAAGTTCTGGAAGGGCCGGAAGTTGAAGTTGCATGAGAGCAATAGCAATGCCTCCCCTAAGCATACCATACAATAGCGATTATGCCATAATCCACAGCAGCAAAAAGATTCACAACATGCAATGTATATATATATAAGAATGCACACCTCAAAACACTGTTGCTGCTTGTTTCCTGCAGCATACACACCAATGGAGCGCTCAACAAGAGAGAGGGATAAACACCGTATCAGCATGTACTAGTTAGAATCGACCAAACTGGCAGCTTGCTTGAACTTGATGTTTCAGCCCCCTCCGCCATGCTAAGCCAGCAACCTTCAGCAGCGTTCCGCCGAACCATCAAACAACAAACAGATTGGGAACAGGCTTTTCTACAATGATACGAAAGATCAAGCATTGCATCATTTTGCACTGTTGATGGAAGGAACATGACGACATCCTGCTGATCAACAAAAACAGGGAAAACAGGGAAAACAGGGAAAACAGGGAAAACAGGATACATGTGATCCAAAGACATCACGAGACGTTTCCCTGTCATACCGGTCATACTGTATCTCCCAAACTTTGATGTGCCCAGGCAGCTGCTGACTGCTGGTGCCGATGCTATGGCTTGCGCAGCATCCGGAGCCACTGCCGTGTCCCTGGCAGCGAGAAATCAAGACAAGGCCATGCTACGTTACCAGGCGGAAGCGAGGACAATTGCAGCTGAAGTTATGCAGTGTTTTGTTGACAGATATATATATATATATATTGACGGACTGAAACTTAGAATGCGCATTTGGAAGCGGCACTCCACACGTGCAAAACTGAAAAATTGCATTTTACCAGCATTTCGGAACTTAGAATGCGTCCCCCCCACCTAGGATGAAGCTATTCGGCAATCAACAGTTAGAATGCCTCCAAGGACATATGTTTTTTTCCAGGCAGAAACACATATATATCCTAGACCCTCCAAGTCACCATAAAAAAGGTAGTTTACCACATTATTTTCATAGTTTTAGCAACTTTTCAGGGTATTTGGAGGTTCTGGGTATAAGAATGTACCTGTTTGAGAATATCAGATTATTTTTTGTGCATTTGCAGGTCTGGGTAAAGATTCCATGAAAAGTTTCAATGAACCAACGGGCAGCCCAAAGGCACTTTTACTCGCTTTCCCCATTCGATAACCTTGACAAAAGTGAGTTTCCCGTACAAAAATTGCGATTTTGGACACATCCCTGAGGTAGATAGGCTTCTGGGAAAAGAGGACACACCCAGCCACTAATGGTGTTGAACAAACAGTGAGAATGTGGCTTTAGTAAAGGATCCCCATCATTGATAAATACCTTTTTTTTATCTCCTAGATGGGCCGCTAGCTGGAATGCCTGTAACTGTCACTGATTGGGAAAGATATTTATATGTTTTTTTTTTAAACGGCAAAACTGGAAAATTGCATTTTACCAGCATTTCAGAACCTAGAATGCCTCCCCCCACCTAGGATGAAGCTATTCGGCAATCAACAGTTAGAATGCCTCCAAGGACATATGTTTTCTTTCCAGGCAGAAACACACATATATATATATATATATCCTAGACCCTCCAAGTCACCATAAAAAAGGTAGTTTACCACATAATTTTCATAGTTTTAGCAACTTTTCAGGGTATTTGGAGGTTCTGGGTATATGAATGTACCTGTTTGAGAATATCTCTTTTTTTGTGCATTTTGCAGGTCTGGGTACTTTTACTCGCTTTCCCCATTCGATAACCTTGACAAAAGTGAGTTTCCCGTACAAAATTGCGATTTTGGACACATACCTGAGGTAGATAGGCTTCTGGGAAAAGAGGACACATCCAGCCACTAATGGTGTTGAACAGACAGTTAGAATGTGGCTTTAGTAAAGGATCCCCATCATTGATAAATACCTTTGTTTTATCTCCTAGATGGGCGAACCAACATCGAATATATATAGGTTTACAAGCAGTTAGAATGTGGGAGGTAGAAATGCCTAAAACCCATGAGTTTCTTCAAAACATTGATTGTTGGGAAATATATGTATATATTTGGTTGCGCAGACAATTGTACCCCACAACTCATGTGTTCCCTCAAGGTTCCCTGGTGTTTTTCTGGAAACATACATACTTGGTATGTATATAGAAAGTTTTTTTGAAAACATGATGCAAACCCACACATCCATGCTAGAATATGCTAGTGCCGGACCATGTACCTTGCACCCAATGAGGTTCCCTGAGGCCACGTTTTTTTTAGCTACGTATCTATCTATTTATCTTTTTTAATATATGTACAATATATATACACACACCGACGGACTGAAACTTCGAATGCTACGCTCCTTTCCTGAGAGTAGTTTACAGACAGTTAGAATGCTCCATGATGCCCCATCCGTCATTTCAGTATATTTTTATCTATCTCAATCTAAACACTTTGGGTCAGCATTCTAACTGTCTGGTCGCCGCCCGGGGCTGCGCTGCATTCTAAGTTTACGAAAAAGGGACTTTTGGAAAAATGGCGCGCATTCTAAGTTTCAGTCCGTCAATATATATATATATATATATATCCCTATCTATCTATCATATGACTATACAGACTATAGATGACATTTGGTGTCAAAAGGCATTTATTTGGGAGATTCAGCTGAGATTCACATTTTATGATTTACATGATTTACAATGTCTGTAAAAGAGCATCCAGCAGAGCCATTCTGGAGGGCAGAAGTTGAAGAGCCCGGACGAATTCATTAAAGACTCCCATTCTGGATGAACCCGATTCGTGGGAAATACATGGAAATACATGGAAATACATGGACATTGTGACTATACTGTATAAATCCCTACCCTCTTAAAAATTGGATTTGAGGGAGGGGAGTCGTACTGAAATTTCATTTTAAAAATCCATTTTTGCAATCATGCTTTCTCAATGATCAATATTCCTCATCATTCCATGTCATTGGCAAGCAGATGAAAATTAAATACTTGCGCTTAGCTCCGGAGGAGCCAAGCACATATCAGACTGAAGCAGCACATGTGTAGGGATGCCATCCCTCCAAAAATTGCGCTGTCGTCATCATACTTGCGCTTAGCTCCTCCGAAGCTAAGCGCAAGTATTTTCTAACCAGTGCGCAAGGCTTGTTAAGAAATGTTACTTTACAATTCCATTTGAGGGGTTGGATCACTATCCCAGGGTTTCCAAGCAAAAAAAAGTGGAATTCGACAAATTGGTTTTGTCCCCCCCGCCCTCCCCCTCTAGAGGGGTAGGGATCTGTATAGTCTCTGTTTCGTCTCTGTATAGTCTCCGTGATCCAGTTCTCTCCGGGAGATGAGTTGGAAAGGCACACCCTGAGGTTGCTTGATGGCAGCTGGCAAAGACGCACCCTTCGATTTGGACGAGTTGTTCGATGGTAAGACATAAAAATGAGCGAAGTTGACGTCCCCAGGAAGCCTTGGAATCATATCTCTTCATTCTTTTGATATCCATTTGTTTGACTGAGGGGATGCAAACATGTGCAATGCCTTGGGGAGGTGGCGAAGTCCCAGCCATTTGCTTTAAAATCAACGCTAGCAGCTAGATGTAGCTACTCGTAGCATGTTGCCTTGGGACAGCTCATGCCTTTGTAATTGTTAGGTCACAGCACGGATGGCTGATACGCGGAAACAGCTTCAACAGCAGGAGAGGGCCAAGGGCCATGGGACTGGGTCGGGCACTGGAAGAAGAACCTCGTGGACAGCAAGTTGATGTGTTTTGTGTTTTGTGTTGGTGATGATGATATTATGATGATCGTGAAGATGAATCAAGATGAAAATATGAATATGAAGACGACACGCTGTCTATAATATTCTATACTCACAATTCTGAGTTTATGGTGCCACACAAATCTCTGTACCGGCTTTAGAGTCAAGAGCAAATATGGCAAGGCAGGGGAACGTGGGTACTCATAAAAGGCACAGTATGACTTAGTGGAAGACCAATCAAAGGATGCGTTTGCACTACGCGAGAATTTCACAGGGCAGGACTGCAATATAAATATTAATGTAATCTATATTATATATATACATAAATCTACATAATATTATTATTAATCTCTATAATATTATCATTAATATTACATAATTAATATGTTAATGGGATGTTTGCCAATAGTACCAGTCCCAAATCCACGAATTGCAAGTCCTTGTAGAAATTGCAACGGCAGAAGGAGATGTCTGCGCAAGAGCTGCATGCTCTTGACCTAGAAAGAGCTGACGTTGTTGGAAGCCCAGTCACATGAATCGTACAAGCTTGGGTGCCTTGTGTTCTTTCTTATCTTTCTTGGCCAGACTTGAATGAAGCTCTCGACCTAGGGCGGTGAGTCATTATAAATCTTACCTCATCAAATCATATCAAATCAATTTTTCCATGCGGTGTTACGAGCGATTTTCCATGATCTTCTTGCTAAAGCGAAGAATGTTGAGATTAAGATGTGACTCAACTTCACGAATTTGAACCGCTGGCAACCTCGTCAGCAAAATGTTGTCAAACCATCCATTCCTCAGCCTGGGAATGCTCCAGTTGCCATAATAAAGCATCTATCTCCTCAGCTTCACACACACAGTGTCCAAGGCAAGGCTTCACGAGCAGATATGCCTCGAAAATCGAGAAAAAGAGGCGATGCTTGAATGGCAGATTGCTGTCGTGAGTTGGCAGTCCTCATCATGATTGAATCTCGAGAGCCTCCTGACCACAATGGAGCATTGCAGTATGAGTATAGTATCAATATTGTGAAAACAGTAGTCTGGCTGGAAACCTTCATGGAAGGGCTTGTTGGAGAAGGTAAGCTTTTCAAGCATTACAGTACCAATCGAATTCAAATGAATTCAAGCTGATGTATTCCTTGCGTACACTCGTGCATGCACATCTGACACTTTGTTTCCGGTCTCTTCCAATGTGGGTTCACGCCAGATGTACTTGGCATCCCATTGACTTTTTTTTGCATGATGTGTTTGATTTTGTTTCAAGATGTTTTAAGATGCTTTAAGACGTCTATACTATTATACTACATGCCATTGTCCTATCGTCTGCAATTGCCTGGAGGTCACCATCACTCGACTCAACAACGATAAGGACTTGGCGAGACGAGTGGCAGGTCCTTGCTTTAGTGTGAGTTGAGCGGTGGCACCGTGGAAAATCAAATTAAAATAGATAGGTTACAGACCTTGTATTATATTTGACCGTATAATATTGGAAATCCACAGAGTGCCAGTGCTTGCTTGGCTGGATAGTTTGAGACTTCATGTTGGGGTTGCTTGGTGTTGCTCCTATGTTTCACCATCACAGGTGAGCTTGCGGCAGAACTGCGCAGGGTTCAGGGCTTGCAGGCAGCTGGGAGGGAACCGGAGCCAACCTCTGGAACTAAGTGCCCACCAGTGCATCTAACGACATGGCATGCGTAGCTTTGCCCAAATGACCCAACTTGCACCTGGGTTGACAGATGTTCTGAGGTCATTCCCAAGTGTGTGAATTGTTTGTTCTTGGATGTCTGTCTACGGCAACGGAGCACAAAGTAGAGGAGAGTGACAACCCGTGAGGGACAGCCTGCGTGCGTTGTGCAAAGACCCTAGGGGCAGCTTTCCTCGCAGGACACTTGGCATGACCGAGCTGAACAATATCAGCTGGACATTCTGGTGATGCAGGTGTTGGAAGTGCAGCAGTAACCAAGGGCAGCTGAGTCCCAAGTTGCGTTCGATCACAGAGCCAAGCAGCTTTTGGCAGAGGAAAGAAATTTCAAGTTGTGTGAGTTGTGTGGCTCTGCCTCAAGCTAGCATCAATTTAGAAGACACACTGCGCTTCCAAGACCTATTTTACTACAGTAATATTGTAATCATATAGTGATTCTTAGTGTATGATTCTGGATCAACTGCCTTTGATATGTAGCGCCAGAGTGAACTTGATGTAGGTTGGGTCAGAATAAGAAAGCCCAACGAATGCTCGCCAAAAGATCATAAGAGATCTACTGGGCCAATGTTTGGTCATGATATTTAGCATTTGAGCCAGGAACAGATTTCTGATATCAACCAGAGGGTCTCTTCCTGTGAAGAATCGCAGCAGAAGGCGCCTTGGCTCTTGGTGTGTCATCCGAGTTGAACAGCATGGTGCAGCATCTTGCCATGGCAACAGGAAGGAGGCAAACTTTTTAAAGCTGTAGCCACTGTAGCGCTTTGCTTTCATAATAACGACGAATAGCCACAGTGGTATACAGTGGTAATCAGTGGTAGCATGTAGCTGCTGGCAGGCCCTGGAGGAAGATGCAAAACTCAAGGCCGATAGAATCCGATACAGCTCTCCTATCCTGTTCTGTTATTTTCGTCATTTGGTTGACCAGTGCGCATGGCGGTCATGCTGGATTTCGTGATGTGTGGTGCAATGGACTCATGATGAGAAAGACATTGCCCAGAGCCCAGCATGAATTGCGGCAGCAATGTCTGCATGAAGACATGAAGAGGACATAGGTTCCCCATGCCCGATAGTGGTCAAAGCTTGGGAGACTCAGTACATCGAAGTGGTTCTCGGGAGCAGTTCTGTGCACAGGGCGATGTGGCAGCTGCCTTTAATGCAGCACAAGGTGCAGACCGAAGCGAGGCGAGGGCATTCGAAAAGCAGAACTCTCTGACTAACGACATACTAACGACATACTAACGACCAACCACCTCAGATCTTCCAGTCATAGAAGAATATAGCAGACAATGTCACTGACATCCACTGGCAAATTTTGTCGAGTTGCAGTTGCCGACCCTTTCGTCGGGCCCCTGGCTGCACAAAGGCAGTTGAAGCCCATGCAGTGGCGTCATTACGGTTGAGGCGCTACTCAATCTTGGTTAGCCGATGGTCTGAAACTGTTCTATTGTTGCAAATCCGCTTTTCCTGTGCTACTCTGCGGCCACAGCGTGAGCGTTTTTTGATTTCGCTAAGTTCAATGATCAACCTTTCTGTGATCCATCAGATCCATCAGGTCCGCTGTGCTGCATGTCTTGCAGGCGGCATCAAATTCAGTCCGCTCTGCAGCAGACCAAAGTGGAGGTGGGGGACAAATTCAAGCCGCAGTAAGAAGCATGCATGATCATAGGAAACGTGTCTAATGTGTCACTTTGTCACTTCCCCAAATTAAAAAGACAGTATGAAAGGGTTCAGTGCAAAAATTAGAGAGCAAGTGTCTTTTTCATATGTGTTCATCCTTGCCAAAGTCCCCCTGGAATCTGGGGCCTGGGGGATTCTAAGTTAGACAGTTGCACGGACAAATCAGATTTGAATATGCGCTCCATTTTGATACATTGTCAAATACATTGTGATACATTGTGACAATCGCGCTCCATTGGACACCTTGCTGGCCTGATGCCCGGCCACGCAGATCGCTTCTCAGAAGCGTTCTGCTGAACAGAACTGGTCCCAGGCGCGGTGCCCAGAACAGCCGCTGAAGGGATTTATGAAGAGAGATCTTAAGAGAAATCAATTTGAGTTTGTTCAACTTGCTGTTTTTTCTTGGGGGTGGCCTGCATCATATTCTCCAATTCCTCTCAAATGGATATGGCTGCTTAAGTTTTAATGGTTGAGGCACTCAATCTCAATTCATAGAAGAAATAGAAACTTCTAGTTCGTAAGACACATAGCAACATCACGCAGATAGCGACTGATCGGAGTGCGCAGAGGTTTTTCCAGGTGGGTTCATTTGATACTTGAGCAAACAGATGAAAGATGTTGAACGGATTCTTCCCGACTCACAGTTATGTTATAACCATGTCATAATTATGTCATAGTAGTTGTCATAGTAATTAGTTGTCATATTGTCATATTACAGGCTGTATTAGTTGTCATGTGGGTTGAAGCCCTCAGAGTCTTCAGCGAGCAGGTGAGCCGACTGCAGGAACTTTTGGACCTGGGTCAGGTGAAGCTGAATCGCTGCACAGCAGAACTCCAGGCCCAGAAAGCATACAAAAGATATTGATTTTAAAAAAACAGTTCACACAATGTTTAACAAAGTGGATGGTGGTTGGTGGTTTTGCAGAACTGGAATATGTAATTGAAAAAACATAGGTAGATGGATGTATATGCATGGATATTTAATATTATGTAATATTATATAATTAAATTATATATAGCCAGATACAGTATAATCAGTACTGGTTGGTATGTAGGTTTTTGCTGGTTTTTGCTGGTTGGTGTTTTTTCCCTCTCCATCCTTTGTTCCAACGCCATTTTGCGTAGTGGCCGTAGTGAGCCTGTGTGAGACATCGGAAAAGCCATTTGAGTAGCATCCCCGGTTTCACCTAAATTTCAAGACAGCCAAGGCTAGGAGACCTACATAGAACATCATAGAACTACAGTACCCAAGCAAAATCATTTTCACTTTCGGAGATTCGGAGGCGTTGCAGAAGTTTCAGTCCGCGAGTTCTACCTCTCCTTTGGCAATAGGCATGGTGCCTTTTGCTTGTGACCTGACTAGAAAAAGTTCCGGGACAGTGACAGTTTGTTACTCGCTTTCTCAATTTGGCTTCCTCGCCGTGCTCATAATATTCTGTCGCCTTTTTCAGGCAGTTTCAACGCTGACCAGAACAAGGAATAGGTAGAAAGAGCTCTCATGCCCTTTGTCTAGCGCAGGTGGTGAGGGCAGCCAAAGCCTGTGACTCTATTGCACTATGTGTCACGCTTTGCAGACAACAACACTACCGTAGATGGACGAAATATTCAAACCCTTTTCATCAAATACAACCCCCTGCCCCCAAAGTTCAATGTTAATGTCAACTGAAGTGTGTTGGCCCCAACGCACGAAACAAATCAAACCCCTATAGCAGCAAACTTGGTAGCACGCACGGTGAAACATTGAGATTTGGGCAGTGGGGGGATCACCACAAAATGCTTTGCAAGGTTTGAATTTTGTCCATCTACTGTAGTAGGCAAGTGATGGCAGCTGTTTTGAAGACATTGGACTCAAGGCTGTCTTGGTGAAAGTGTTACAGTATTTTGATTTCTTAGTCTCTGCCCCTTGCTGAGCACGTGACAATTCTTTCAACCATGATGTTGATATTCGACCAGTTCAGCTCCTATGCGTTTCGTTGTTGTCTCCTTTCAATGGAACCGAATCCTTTTGTGCAGATAATTGAACGAATTATATCGATGCTTTCTCTAGATGGCTGTGGCTGCGGGGCAAAACTAGAGCAACGCTGCCAAAGTGGTATACAGGTCAGAATCCCGTACAGTGTGTACAGGCTACTTTGCCGTGTTTTGCCGGGGACTGTTGTGGGTCTGTTCCATGATGAATCAATGCAAAAAAAATCGTGCATGAAACCGTGCATGGGTTTATCTTACCAGAATAGCGGTGTCAACGGAATCCTCTCCTTGCACATATGGTTAATTGGATTTAATTGGTTGGACCCTTAGCCGCCCAGGACATCCAAACTCAAGGACCTGGTGGAACAAAGATACGCCAAGGCCAGGGCCAGGGTGCCGGGTTTTCATCCAGAAATTGCAGAGATGTTGATGAGGAGGAGATTTCTTGAGCCGACGTATTGTTAATGTCTCTTTCCCTCTATCTCTATCTATGGTATACTGGTACATATTACATATCAATTCCACATAATGATACATCCGTATATTATCATATCATATCAACTCATATCATCATATTATACTACATTACACTATATTGTATTATATTATAGTGTATTGTATTATATTATGTTATTATATTATTTATGTAATATATTGCTTTGTTTTGTTTTATATATTGTATTATCGAAGGAAGTTTAGAAGTCAAACTTCCGACAATATGGACAGATGAAAAGCAGAGATGGGAAGAGTCAGAGAGAAGAGAAGAGTAGAAGAGAGAAGATCAGAGAAGAGAAAGAGTCAGAAGAAAGAAGATGGAGATGCGCGAAAAGGTAGGCAAGTCGAGAAAAACTGTGTTTTTCCATGTTTTTCGAATGATTTGGGGCTCCGGAGGGTCGAAAAGTAGGCTCGCTAAAGCAGCGGGCGCGGAGCCATCTGGCCAGATGAGAGATTAAAAAATTGCACGCCGTTGTGGCGCGAAGCACATTTCCAAGTCATTTTTTTCAAAACACCACATGTTCGGACCACTTTTGGAAGTTGCGATGTGGAAAAAGTGTACGCCGTTGTGGCGCGAAGCACATTTCGACTTCAAACTGTACAAAACACAGCAGCTCCGGACGACGTTTGGAAGTTGCGATGTCGAAAAAGTGCACGCAGTTGTGGCGCGAAGCACATTTCGAAGTCAAAATTTTAAAAGCATTTAAAAACACCAGGGGTTCGGACCACTTTTGGACGTTCAGATGTCGTTTCGCGTGGCAGGCGCAAGTGATTGTGGACCTTGTCAAAAGTGAGCAAAGTGTGAGGGTTTTGTAACATTTCCAAAAACGATGGCAGGCGTGGGACATTTGAAGAGGATCTGCAAAGATGCATTTTCCGTGGCAGGCGCGGTACAGGAGACATCTTCATCTGATTTCCTGAGATGGGTTGCATTTTGGAGCCTCAGATCTTCAGGTTTGCTGAGATGATTTTGCATGACAGGTGCAGCACTTCGTATGACCTGGCATCACTTTTTCATGGCAGGCGCAGTAGTTTAGACAGGTGGACTAGAAAAATCGCAAAACGCATTGGTACGAGGCCGTCAGCGCTGCACGCAACTTTCCATTTTTGAAGGAAGTCTCGCAGAATTGCTTCGTTTTTAACGTTGTCAAGTTCGAACATGGAGGAAGTCTCGCAGAATTGCTCCGTTTCTGATGTTGTCAAGTTCAAAAACTGAGGGCGTCTCGCAGAATAGCTTCGTTTTCAAGCTTGCAGATAGACAGGTAGATAGATAGACAGACAGGCAGACAGACAGAGAGATAGATAGATAGGTAGATAGGTAGACAGATACATAGTTAGATAGACAGATGAGATAGATAGATAGCTAGATAGATAGATAGCTAGCTCAAAACCTGAGGATGTCTCGCAGAATAGCTTCGTTTTCAAGCTTGCAGATAGGCGGTAGGTAGATAGACAGACAGACAGACAGATAGACAGATAGCTAGGTAGGTAGGTAGGTAGGTAGATAGGTAGATAGGTAGATACATAGTTAGATAGACAGATGAGATAGATAGCTAGATAGATAGCTAGATGGATGGATGGATAGATAGATAGATGGATAGATAGACATCTAGATAGATAGATAGGTAGGTAGATAGATAGATAGATTGGATGGATGGATAGATAGATAGATGGATAGACAGATGGATAGATAGATAGACAGATGGATGGATAGATAGACAGATGGATGGATAGATAGACAGATAGACAGATGAGAGAGAGAGAGAGAAAGAGAGATAGATAGATAGATCAATCGATCGATCGATAGATAGATAGACAGACAGACAGGCAGGCAGGCAGGCAGGCAGGCAGACAGAGAGAGAGAGAGAGACAGATAGATAGATAAATAGATAGGTAGATAGAAAGATAGAAAGATAGATTAGATGGATGGATGGATGGATAGATCGATAGATGGATAGACAGATGGATAGATAGATAGACAGATAGACAGATGAGAGAGAGAGAGAGAAAGAGAGATAGATAGATAGATTGATTGATTGATAGATGGATAGATTGATAGATTGATAGATATATCGGTAGGTAGGTAGGTAGGTAGGTAATCAGAGAAAGGGAGAAAAAGAGAGAGAAAGAGAGGAGACATCAATCACCTTTCGATCCATCAGTGGCTTCGCTCTGCCATCCGTGATTCACAACAACCTAGCTATGATTTAAAAATAGATTAAAATACCAGTAGTACCGCGCAAGGCGGTGGCGGAAGTTTCAAAAATAGGAAACCTATAGGAGAGATTGGTTGTTGTGAATCACGGATGGCAGAGCGAATCCACTGATGGACCGAAAGGTGGTTGGAGCTGTGTTTTTTGGAGTGGCTGCAATGGTTGCAGTAGTCACCCGGTCGGTCACCTCACCCACAACTGCTGGATGTAGTGTGGTGTAGTGCAGCTGTAGTTGTAGTTGTAGTCTAGTGGAGTTGTAGTTATGGTGTAGTGTAACTAGTGTAGCGTAGTTGCAGTTGCATTTAGGGTGGTGTAATGAGTGTATTGTCATGTAACATAACGTATATAATGTAATGCAATGTGGGGTAGGGTAGTGTAGTGTAGTGTAATTGAGTGTAGTGTGGTGTGGTGTAGTGTGGTGTAGTGTAGTGTAATGCAATTAGTGTAGTGTAGTGTAGTGTAGAGTAGCGCGGTGTAGTGTAGTGTAGTGTAGTGTGTTGTGTAGTGTAACGTAGTGTGTTGCGTAGTTTAGTGTAGTGTAGTCTAGTGTAGTGTAGTGTAGTGTAATGCAATTAGTGTAGTGTAGTTGTAGTTGTACTTGTAGCGTTTCGTAATGTATTGTAGTTGTACTTGTAGTTGTACTTGTAGTTGTAGTTGTAGTTAGTGTAGTGTAGTGTAGTGTAGTGCAGTGTCGTATAGTGTAGTGTACTTAGTGTAGTGTAGTGCAGTGCAGTGCAGTGCAGTGTAGTGTAGTGTAGTGTCGCGTGGTGTCGTGTAGTTCAGTGTAATTGAGTGTAGTGTACCGCAGTGTAGTGGAGTGTAGTGTAGTGAGGTGTAGTGTAGTGGAGTGGGGTGTAGTGTAGTGTAGTGGAGTGGGGTGTAGTGTAGTGTAGTGTAGCGCAGTGTAGTGTAATGTACTTAGTGTAGTGTAGTGTAGCCTATGTAGTTGTAGTCGTAGTTGGTGTGATGTAGTGTAATGTAGCGTAGTGTAGTGTAATGTCATGAGTGTAGTGTAGTGTAGTGTAGTCTATGTAGTTGTAGTTGTAGTTGTAGGTGTAGTGCAGTGTCATTCAGTGTGGTGTAGTGTAGTGCAATGTAGTGTAGTTTAGTTGTAGTGTAGCGTAGTGTAGTGGAGTGTAGTGTAGTGCAATGTAGTGTAGTGTGGTGGAATGTAGTGTGGTGTGGTGTAATGTAGTGTAGTGGAGTGTAGCGTAGTGTATTGGAATGTAGTGTAGTGGGGTGGGGTGTAGTGTAGTGTTGCGCAGTGTAGTGTAATGTAATTAGTGTAGTGTAGTGTAGTCTATGTAGTTGTAATTGTAGTTAGTGTGATGTAGTGTAATGTAGAGTAGTGTAGTGTAGTGTAATGTCATTAGCGTAGTGTAATGTAATGTAATGTAGCGCAGTTGTAGTTGTAGTTGTAGGTGTAGTGCAGTGTCATTCAGTGTAATGTAGTGTAGTTTAGTTTTACTTCAGTGTAGTGGAGTGTAGTGTAATGTAGTGTAGTGTAGTGGAATGTAATGTGGTGTGGTGTAATGTAATGTAGTGGAGTGTAGTGTAGTGGAATGTAGTGTAGTGTAGTGGAATGTAGTGTAGTGAAGTGTAGTGTAGTGTAGCGTAGTGTAGTGTAGTGTAATTGAGTGTAATTGAGTGTAATTGAGTGTAGTATAGTGGAGTGTAGTGGAGTGTAGTGGAATGTAGTGGAGGTGTAGCTGTAGTTGTAGTGTAGTGTATTGGAGTGTAAGTGTAGTGGTGGTTGTAGTTGAAAATGCTACAAAACCTCAGGTTTTGCTCACTTTTTGACAAGGTGCACAATCCCTTGCACCTGCCACGTGAAACGACATCTGAACCTCCAAAAGTGGTCCAACCCCCTCGTGCTTTTAACATTTTGAATTCGAAATGTGCTTCCCGCCACAACACCGTGCACTTTTTCAACATTGCAACTTCCAAAAGTGGCCCGAACATGTGGTGCTTTGTACATTTTGACTTCGAAATGTGCTTCGCGCCACAACGGCGTACACTTTTCCACATCGCAACTTCCAAAAGTGGTCCGAACATGTGGTGTTTTGAAAAAAATTGACTTGGAAATGTGCTTCGCGCCACAACGGCGTGCAATTTTTTAATCTCTCATCTGGCCAGATGGCTCCGCACCCGCCGCTTTAGCGAGCCTACTTTTCGACCCTCCGGAGCCACACATCAGTGGAAAAACACAGTGTTTCGCGACTTGCCTACCTTTTCGCGCACCTTCATCTTCTTTCTTCTGATTCTTTCTCTTCTTTGATCTTCTCTCTTCTGCTCTTCTCTCTTCTACTCTTCTTCTCTTCTCTCTGACTCTTCCATCTCTGCTTTTCATCTGTCCATATTGTCGGAAGTTTGACTTCTAAACTTCCTTCGATTATATTATATTCCAGTAGTACCGCACAAGGCGGTGGCGGAAGTTTCA